CCCTTGCAGGAGTCCCACCGGTTGCCACAGGGCCATCAACCAATCTGGAAGCTTCTACTGCTGGTGCACAAGCCAAAGCGTGTATTTCACTGGCGGGGCTTGATCTCCTCCCTCCAGTTGGATCAACAGCAGCTGACAAATGTGGAGCAGGAATTCTCTGGGGTGGTGCCTCAACGGGGGGCCCAGCAGCAGAGTGAGGGATAGCAGAGGGCTGTGGAGGAGAGACGGAAGGGTCTGGATCAGGTACATGTTGAGACATCCCCACATGGAATTGAGCCTGAGGCTGAGACTGTAAAGAAGCATTGTTCCTGTTATGGGATAGTGGTTGCGGTGTAATAGAAGAACTAGCAGCAGCACCAGCAGCACCTGTTGTCTCCTCCTCATCCCCTCTCGTGCTGGTGAAGCCATTGGTCCCATCAGCTGCTCCCATTCCTGCAGCATCAGGACCAGCTGCCGCACGTAAGGGCGCACGCGCGGGCATGGGATAGTGTGTGTGAGAACTCTCAGGAGCAGACAGGGAGACAGGTGGATCTGCTGATGGTGTTGCTGTCGCTGTCGCTGTTGTTGTTGGTATGGATGGTGGGCTCGAGTACCCCAAGTCATGCAGAACAGCTGCGTGCCTCGACTCATGTGTGTCGCACTCACACTCGCACTCATCCATCCTATGTTCTCTCACGCCAGGAATAGCTGCTGTTTCTCCTGCTACCGCTGCTGCTGCTGCGTCTTCCCTCCCTTGCACTGCTGCTGCTGCCAATACTGCTGCTGTTGCTGCCGCGTCTTCCCTCCCTTGCACTGCTGCTGCTGCCAATACTGCTGCTGTTGCTGCCGCGTCTTCCCTTCCTTGCACTGCTGCTGCTGCTGCTGCTGCCAATGCTCTTGATCCATCAGCCTCTGCTACTACAGCTGAATGGTCTCTTGCGTCTGCTGCTGTTACTGCTGCCATTGACACTGTGTGAATGGGGCCAGCAGCTGATAATAGTTGTGCCGCCCCTGCTTGCGCCGCCCCTGCTTGCGCCGCCCCTGCTTGAGCCGCCCCTGTTTGCATCTCTGATGGTTCTAAGACTGTTAGTGGTCCCGTTAATGCTGGCACTGCTTGTGCTTCTTCTGCCACCACTGCTGCCAGTGCTGCTGGTGCTGACAGTGCTACTGGTGCTGCCAGTGCTGCTGGTGCTGCCGGTGCAGATACAGTCACTGTTGATGGCACTGCTACAGTGGCACCAGATGATGCTGCTGAGGCAGGCCCTGCTGTCTCTCCCGACTGAAGCACAAGGAGAGACACACCACCGGCCAGTCTTGCCACTATGGGTGGTGGTGCTGCTGCCTGTGCTGCTGCTTGTGCTGCTGCTACATCAACTCCTGATGATTGCAGAAAGACCGCCCAGTCCTCTCGGTCACTGCCGCTGCCGCTCATATTGATTCTAAAACTGTCTTTTCCACTGGCGCTACCATCACCGCTGTTACCAGTACCAGCTGCTGCTACAGAGGGTGAGGCAGATGTGAAGAGATGGTTACTGAGGAAACCCTGCTGCTGCTGCTGCTGTTGCTGCTGCTGCTGCCCATAGAAGGAAGTATAGTTTGCTTTGGAGGATGCAATTGAGGCAGCTCGATTGGTGGTAGTGGTGGTGGTGGCGGTGGTGGTTGTGGTGGTGGTGGTGGCGGTGGTGGTGGTGGTTGGATAAGCAGACAACGCAGAGAGGAGATGAGAGGCAGGATCAGCTGCAGAGGAGGAGGCAGCAGGGGGGGGAGAGGAAGACTGATTCACCCACTCTTGCTGCCGCTGCTGCTGCCACTGCTGCTGCCACTGCTCCCGCCAATCATGCGCTTGCTGCTCCTCCTCCTCCTCCTCTTCCTCTCCCTCCCGCTCTCCCCCCAACTCATCGTCCTCCTCATCATCTTCAAAAGGATATTTGTGGGCATGCTGCTGCGACTGGTGGTTGATTCGGTAGTCAGGTGTGCCGAATGACTCGATGTCAATGCTGGGAGGTGGAGAGGGGGAAGACGGGTGGGAGAGAGGTGAGGGGGTTATGAGTCGACTCGAAACGCGCGCATGTTGCTGCAACTGGTGGTTGGTTGATTCTATAGTCATGTGTAACAAACGACTCGACGTCAATGCTGACAGGTGGAGAGGGGGAAGAGGGGCGGGAGGGAGGTGCGGAGGAGGAGAGGTGAAGAGGAGGGGCAGGCGAGTGCTGGACGAGAGAAAGGCGAGTGCGGGAGTAATGTTTTGAGACATCTCAAAACATCTCTTTTATCACGGTGCGGAGGAGGAGAGGTGAAGAGTAGTGGTAGGGGAGTGCTGGAAGAGAGAAAGGCGAGTGCGGGGGAAATACAGCCACATGGTATCAACCAAACTCAGCACCTCAAGAGCCCCACCCACCTGGTATCAGAGCCTCGGAGGCTGTTGAATCGATACAGCCCTGCCACAGCCCCTTCTCCTCCCCCCCCACGCGGCCCTTGCTCCCCGCCTGTGCGGGCAGACGAGGAGGGCAGCAGCAGCGCATGTGCGTTCAGCTCTCCCTCCATAGCCTCTATTCCTCCTGCATAGAGGAACGGCTGGCTCCAGGAGCGGGAAGGCGACGGCAGTGCTGTGAGGTGCTCTGTGAAATAACGCCGCTTTATTAGCTGGGAGAGGAGGAAGGGGAGGGGAAGGGGAGAGGGGGGGGGGTGAATGGATGTTTTTTTAGTGTAACTCAAAGAAGGCGACGGCAGTGCTGTGAGCTGCTCTGTGAAATAACGCCGCTTTATTAGCTGGGAGAGGGGGCAGGGGAGGAGAAGGGGGGGAAGGGAGGGGAGAGGGGGGGGGGGGGAATTAACGCAGGGTGATTTTTCAGTGTAACTCAAAGAAGGAGATGGCAGTGCTGTGATGTGAGGTGCTCTGTGAAGTAGTGCTGCTTGATTAGCTGGGAGAGAAGGGCAGGTAGGGGGTGGAGAATAGGGAGGAGTTTGTGAGAATAGGGAGAATAGGGAGTGGAGAACCAGACATAGGTGCTCAAAACAATCTCAGAAGGGCAGGTAGGGGGTGGAGAATAGGGAGGAGCTTGTGGGATCAACGTGGGTTGTGAGACTGGGGTTTCGCACATGGAGTTTGTGGTGTAGGGTTGTGGAGATGAGGGGGGACAGAGGGGTGTGGAGGGGGGAAAAAAAGAACGGCAAGAATATAAGCAGCACAGGCTTTCCCTATCTGCTGCCACACCTGCTGCTGCCACACCCGCTGCTGCTACACCTGTTGCTGCCAAACCTGCTGCTGCCAAACCTGCTGCTGCCAAACCTGCTGCTGCCAAACCTGCTGCTGTCACACCCGCTGCTGCCAAACCCGCTGCTGCCAAACCCGCTGCTGCCAAACCTGCTGCTGCCACACCTGCTGCTGCCACACCTGCTGCTGCCACACCTGCTGCTGCCACACCTGCTGCTGCCACACCTGCTGCTGCCACACCTGCTGCTGCCACACCTGCTGCTGCCACACCTGCTGCTGCCACACCTGCTGCTGCCACACCTGCTGCTGCCACACCTGCTGCTGCCACACCTGCTGCTGCCACACCTGCTGCTGCCACACCTGCTGCTGCCACACCTGCTGCTGCCACACCTGCTGCTGCCACACCTGCTGCTGCCACACCTGCTGCTGCCACACCTGCTGCTGCCACACCTGCTGCTGCCACACCTGCTGCTGCCACACCTGCTGCTGCCACACCTGCTGCTGCCACACCTGCTGCTGTCACACTAGCAGTGATACGCTGCTCCACTGCCGCGAAGCCAGACTCCCAAGACTAAGATGCGTCTCAAGGGGAGACGCGCGGAGACTGACGCGCGGAGACTGACTTTTGAGAATTCTCCGCGGGGAGAATCCCGCGAGAATTCTGACTTCTCAAAAGTCACTCCAAGGGGAGATGCGAGAATTCAGACTTCTCAAAAGTCACTCCAAGGGGAGATGCGAGAATTCAGACTTCTCAAAAGTCACTCCAAGGGGAGATGCGAGAATTCTGACTTCTCAAAAGTCACTCCAAGGGGAGATGCGAGAATTCTGACTTCTCAAAAGTCACTCCAAGGGGAGATGCGAGAATTCTGACTTCTCAAAAGTCACTCCAAGGGGAGATGCGAGAATTCTGACTTCTCAAAAGTCACTCCAAGGGGAGATGCGAGAATTCTGACTTCTCAAAAGTCACTCCAAGGGGAGATGCGAGAATTCTGACTTCTCAAAAGTCACTCCAAGGGGAGATGCGAGAATTCTGACTTCTCAAAAGTCACTCCAAGGGGAGATGCGAGAATTCTGACTTCTCAAAAGTCACTCCAAGGGGAGATGCGAGAATTCTGACTTCTCAAAAGTCACTCCAAGGGGAGATGCGAGAATTCTGACTTCTCAAAAGTCACTCCAAGGGGAGATGCGAGAATTCAGACTCCTCAAAAGTCACTCCAAGGGGAGATGCGAGAATTCTGACTTCTCAAAAGTCACTCCAAGGGGAGATGCGAGAATTCTGACTTCTCAAAAGTCACTCCAAGGGGAGATGCGAGAATTCTGACTTCTCAAAAGTCACTCCAAGGGGAGATGCGAGAATTCTGACTTCTCAAAAGTCACTCCAAGGGGAGATGCGAGAATTCTGACTTCTCAAAAGTCACTCCAAGGGGAGATGCGAGAATTCTGACTTCTCAAAAGTCACTCCAAGGGGAGATGCGAGAATTCTGACTTCTCAAAAGTCACTCCAAGGGGAGATGCGAGAATTCTGACTTCTCAAAAGTCACTCCAAGGGGAGATGCGAGAATTCAGACTCCTCAAAAGTCACTCCAAGGGGAGATGCGAGAATTCTGACTTCTCAAAAGTCACTCCAAGGGGAGATGCGAGAATTCTGACTTCTCAAAAGTCACTCCAAGGGGAGATGCGAGAATTCTGACTTCTCAAAAGTCACTCCAAGGGGAGATGCGAGAATTCTGACTTCTCAAAAGTCACTCCAAGGGGAGACTGACTCGCTCACTGGCTCACTGGCTCACTGGCTCACTGGCTCACTGGCTCACCTCACCTGCAGGAAAAAGGCGTCCACTGCTGCCAGGTCCAAGCGGCCCTGCTTCGCACCTTTAGCTGCCACACCTGCTGCTGCCACAACCGCTGTTTATGCACCTGGTGCTCTGCATTGGAGAGACTCGTTGTAGACTTGCTGTTACCGGGTCCGGGCTCACCTCACCTGTTACCGGGTCCGGGCTCACCTCACCTGTTACCGGGTCCGGGCTCACCTGCAGGAAAAAGGCGTCCACTGCTGCCAGGTCCAAGCGGCCCTGCTTCGCACACTGCGGTGCGGCCGAGGAGGAAGAGGATCACGCACGGGCGGCAGAGGAGAGAACACACAGGAGGGCAAGCAAGAGGAGGAAGAGAGGAGAGGAGAGGGAGGGAGAGGGAAGTATGAGTGGCAGATGGATCGAGTGCCTTGCAGGGGCCAACGCGGACGTAGGACTGGGGTTGGAAAAGCTACTTCAAAGGCAGCACTTTGTTCTGGCCCTGCTTTTGTTTCCCTTTGCTGCTATCATTCGCCCTTTGTTTTAACCATACACAAGCAGCAGAGAAGCAGCAATGGAACCCTCCCCCCTCATGCTCACTCTCCCCTCATGCTCACTCTCCCCTCATGCTCACTCTCCCCTCATGCTCACTCTCCCCTCATGCTCACTCTCCTCCCACGCCCCTCCCATCCACTCCACTCCCCTCCCGTTCCCTCCACTCTCTCCCTTCCCCTCCTCTCCACACACTGCAATGCTCTGTGTTGAAGGGACACAAGATACACCAATACGCCAACAACACACAAACCCCATCCTCCTCTTCACGTGATAAAAGAATTGTTATGAAACATCTCAAAACAAAAACTCCATCCTCCTCTTCCCACTCGACTCAAGAAAAAACCCACTCACCGCAATGAGCCCTGCGCCCCTGGGGTTCCGAATATACTCCGGCAGCTCGCCGCGCTTCCTCCTTCCAAACGACCGCAGCCCATACCGCTCCACCACGGTCTTGGCATGCCTCACCGCATACTCCAGCGCCCTGCTGCTCCTGGCGGCGCGCAGCAGCTTCACTCTCCCCTGTAGCTGCAGCACGGGGTCCTTGTCCCGCAGGTCGTCCTTGTTGCCGATCACCAGGAGCGGCACAGGGAGCTGCCCCTCGCGGTGCCCGTGGGAGGGCGCGGAGAAGGTGCCGCTGCGCACGAGCTCGTCCATCCACTGCAGTGCCGCTACTCGGGACTTCTTACGGGACAGGTCATGCACGAATATGACTCCTGGGAGGGGGTGGAGAGCGGGGGGGGAGGGGAGGCGGTGGAGAGGGGGAGAGGGGTGGAAGGAGGGGAATGGGAGGGGCAGACGGTGGAGCATGAGGAGCACAATGGGGTGCGCAGCAGCTTGACCCGGCCCTGTAGTTGCAGCACGGGGTCCTTGTCCCGGCGCGGAGCGGATGTCTGTCATCCTTGTTGTCTGTCAACCTTGTTGTCTGTCATCCTTGTTGTCCTCTATTACACGTACCGTTGATCTGATCTGATCATAGAACGCCTCATAAATAGACCCCACTAGTACACGTACCATTGATCTGATCATAGAAGAGTGGGTGCGGTGACTTACACTGCTTGCTTTCTTACCCGACTCAAACATCGATTCTTAGTTTACAACTTTTGAGGCACCTTTTGAGGAGCGCCTCATAAATAGACCCCACTAGTACACGTACCGTTGATCTGATCATAGAAGAGTGAGCGCGACGACTTGTACTGCTCGCTGCCTGACACGTCCCACACCTCCACGAAGAACCCCCGCCGCCCCTCCTCGCCCCCACCACCACCACTGCCCACCGCTGCCACCCCACTGCTGACGCTGCTGCTGCTTGGGTCTGTGCGCAGGTGGGATGTGGAGTCCCCTGGCTCTGGCTCTGCCTGGGGGCTGTACTCCATGTACTGTGCATGCCATGACATGCCACGCCATGCCATGCCATGCCACGCCATGCCACGCCATGCCATGCCATGCCATGCCATGCCATGCCATGCCTTGCCATGCCATGATACCATGTCATCATGCCATGCCATCATGCATGATGCCATGCCATAACAAGCCATGCCATGCCCCACAGACACAAGCACCGTGCAAGAGGGGAATTCAGCATTGAGGGGAATTCAGCATTGAGGGCATTGGATTGGAGGCATGAAAATAGCGACAATAGTGCGAGTAACGCGACCTGAGCATAAGAGGGGAAGAGAAATACTCATGCCAGCTCCAAACACGATCAATACCCCATGCCATTTCAGCCGACTCAAAAAGCTTCAGGCATGACAGGTTGCGCTGGATTGGATATAGCTAGTCATTAGTAATTCATCCCACTCTGACGCCCTTCACTTCTAGCAGTCTCGTCTTGACGCCCTTCACTGCAAGCCGCCTCACCTAGACGCCCTTCAATCTCCATCCACCATCTCACCTTGACGCCCACACTGCAGCCGACTGTACGGGGTGGCTGTGCTGTAGGATGGCCGTTGAGAATGAGGTGCACCAGGGACGTCTTGCCCACCCCTGTGACACACAATGGGTGAGGCAGCACCAGTGCCATCAAGGGGCAGGAGAGAAGAGAGGGAGAGTGGAGGGGGAGGGGGGGGTGCGAGGGAGGTTGGGAGGACAAGAGGAGGGCGAGCAAATGTGAGAGGGAGAGGGGGAATGGCGAGAGAACGCGCTTTAAATGCAGGTGTACATGAGTGTGGACGCATGGCTGTATAACATATGACAGGCGGTTGCCAGCTATGGCAAGCCTAGCCCAGAGCAGCATAGGGAGCCCGACTCCACAACAAGCCCAGACGCCGGCTCCCTGTGCTCTCTCTGCTCTCTCTGCTCTCTGTGCTACCTGTGCTCTACTCTGAGTCAATCTGCACCTTATGTATCACCTGCACTCTCTATACTATCTGCAATACCTGCACTTTTTGCACTATCTGTGCCATTTGGAACCCCACTCCACACCCCTCTCTTCTCTCCCCATTTCCACACGCACCTGAGTCCCCAACCACCATCACACGAACTTGCCCTGCTGGCACACTCCCGCCTCTTCCCACTCCCACTCCCCCTCCCCCTCCCCCTCCTCCGCTCCCGCCTCCGCCTCCGCCCGCCCCTCTGCCCGCCCATCCTCCCCCTCCCCCCCCCATCTGACCGCCATCTTGCCACTGGTTCATCAACTCCACCGCTCTGCACCGCGCTGGACACCGTTCCCTGGACCAACAGAATACGTCAGCTCACGATGCCCGGAAGGCAAGCGGACGGGAAAAGAGGAAGGGTGCAGCAGCTAGGGGCTGTGATCCGGCCAGGTGTCACAGCAAGAGGAAGAGGAGGGTTCATCTGAAGGTGATTGTTCAGTCAGTCGACTCAAGAATCACCAGCGAGGGGATGAGGTCCGGCCGGCTGCGGCAGTGAGAGAGAGAGGTGGGTTCATCTCTCATGTGCCTCGGGTGGATGCTAGACACACAGGGCAAGCCGCTAGATGAGAGATGAGCCCACCTCTCCCTCTCACTGCCGCAGCCGGCCGGACCTCATCCCCTCACAGGTGATTCTTGAGTCGACTAACTGATCAATCACAACAAACACCTTCAGATGAACCCTCCTCTTTCTCTCGCTGCCAACATGAGAGCATCTGTGTGAGCAGCGACGTGAGTCAGCACGTGAGTGAGAGAGCTACCGAGTGTGTGCGGATTCCCCCACCCTTTCCCCCACCCTTTCCCCCACCCTTCCCCCCCCCTCTCCTTTTCCCCACCCTCCCCCCCCCCCCCCCCCCCTTCCACTTACTTTTCTGTGTACTCATACTGTGTCTGAAAGACGTCCCGGGTTTAGCGGCGGCGCATGGGGGCCAATAGAACCCATCCACGTGTGCATGCACGGCGGTTGGCAAGCGATGACGGGGAAAGGGGGTTGAACAGAGAGAACTGAGGAGGATGGACGGAGATGCGCGGAGGGGGTTTAATCGGTGGAGCCGTGAATGAGAATGAATGATGAGCGACGAGATGAAGAGCAAATAGAAAGAAGAACACAGCCTGAATTCTTACAGAATATTGAGTACGAGAGTCGAGAGTATGAGAACGCAAGCAATGAATAACGAGAGCGATGAACTGAGAACGATGAATTGAGAGCGATGAATTGAGAGCGACGGGAACGAGGGATGTTGAGAGGTCACTCAGGAACGAAGGTGGTTGCGATGCCGCGGCAAGCTGCGCTCGACTCGCTCGTTCCCCATTGGTCGAATTCATGCAAGCCGGGACCGAATCGTCCTGTGGACGTGCGACGTGACGCACTGACCTCGTCGAATTCGTATCAGACAACTTTCGCCGCCTCGATTCTCGGCGCTCCACGCGATGCTGCCATCCCTCGCAGCCTGGCAGTCAAAGAATGGACTCTTGGTCTTGATACCACGTGATAGAAACCAGGTAAAAAATTTTGATGCCAGGTGATAGAATCTAGGCGCCACGTTTAAGACTCTTCATGTCAGGTGAGTTAGGGCGCGTCGCCTCGGGCGTTCGAACGGGCCAATTCGAACAGCCACCGTACTGAAACGCTTTGTCTGATCCTCAAAACGTCCTGTACCAGACTTTGGACGCTCGAACAGCTTATTTCCGCCCGATGTGAGACGCCCTTATTCTCGCGGTCTGAAGAAACAACGTGCTTCACGGCTGGACGTTCTATTTGGAACCTAGGGCTTTCACTTTAGGAGGAGGCAGCATGGTAACCCTGAAATGGGGCATATCGAAAATGTGGCTGGGGCGAAATCGAATGCGGGTGGCGAGATGAAACAAGCCTTCGCCACGCTATTTCGCGAGAGCGGTTTCCGATAATATGGGTGGGGGAATTATCGAGTGTGCGACGTAGCACTGCGCTCGCCCCACCATTGGTGGGCGCACTTCCCAACTCACGTGTGTTTGAAATGGTGGGCCGGCATGCGAAATACTCTAACGCGGTAGCAGTGAGGAACTGGTGTATACACTGAACACAATTCTACAATTTCAATTAGAATACTGAAACATTTTTGTGAGACTAAGTGGCGACTGACTGACAGCCGTCGCAAGATAGTCATTTTATTTTCTCGCCTCGCGTCGCGTCTCCTTTTCGGCCGGTCGTGTGGTGAGGTGGGTCGTGTGGTGTGGTTACAGTATCAAAACTACAGATGGATCGCGATTCGGGGGATTTTCATGCCAGGTTATCCATTGTTCAGTTTGAAGTCTGGAGGACTCCAGTGGTACTGTACTGTACCACAGGCTTTTCCCGCCTGCCAGCGCCGGCAACAAAGCTTGCGTGGAGAATGGGGCGGGGTGATGGAAAGCGGGAGAATGGGGCGGGGTGATGGAAAGCGGGAGAATGGGATGGGTGATGGAAAGCGGGAGAATGGGGTGGGGTGATGGAAGGCGGGAGAATGGGGCGGGGTGATGGAAAGCGGGAGAATGAGGCGGGGTGATGGAAAGCAGGAGAATGGGGCGGGGTGATGGAAAGCGGGAGAATGGGGCGGGGTGATGGAAAGCGGGAGAATGGGGCGGGGTGATGGAAAGCGGGAGAATGGGGCGGGGTGATGGAAAGCGGGAGAATGGGGCGGGGTGATGGAAAGCGGGAGAATGGGCCGGGGTGATGGAAATCGTGAGATTGGGGCGGGGTGATGGAAAGCGGGAGAACGGGGCGGGGTGATGGAAAGCGGGAGAATGGGGCGGGGTGATGGAAAGCGGGAGAATGGGGCGGGGTGATGGAAAGAGGGAGAATGGGGCGGGGTGATGGAAAGCAGGAGAATGGGGCATCGCGAAGATAGATCTCGGAATGGATCGTGAAAACGGTACCTTCTCAAGGACTAATACTCGAATCATCTCGTTGGAGAACAGGCCGAGGCAAATAGTCGTAATATATTATTTACAAAAATGGGAGGGAGCGTGGCAGCAGGAGCGACGAATCGAGTCGAGCAGCGGCGCCTTAGAATCCGATCATCAGTCGCCGCCGCCCTGCTGCGCCTCGGCGCGCTGCTGTCCGTCTGCTTGGCCGTTCACGCCGTGCTCACGTATTCGCCTCGTCCGGACATAGCAGCGCGTGAGTGAAGCAGGCGAATGTGTAACTGACTTCAGTTGCAACTTCCCACTGCTTTGTTATAGTGCAATATTATGCTCCCGATTTTATTTCAGTTCATTTGAAGCGGTTGACTTTGATGTTGTGCGTTCTAGAGCGGTATGTTTGCTCCACCGCTTTGAACCGCCCCATACCAGCCTGAACACCACTATGTATGACTCGCCTGTACTCATGCCCGCCGAAGCGGCACTCCTCTTAATCTCGTCCCTGGCCTTCAGTTATCGACAAACCCGTGAAGCTGTACTGGTCGCCATGGGCAGCGCCGTCGCAGCGTGACCAGGGAGCAGCGGAGCTGCTTATAACGGAGCAGCAGGACAGGCCCGCGGAGGATGGAGGGGAAAACCGTGACTCTATAACGCGGATGGCGCAGACTGAGGTGAAAAAAGGGCCGGCGGAGCCGCGGGCAGGAGAAGAAGCGACGCGTGGGGAGGAGGAGGGGGCGAAGATAGGAGAGGAAGCAACGCGTGGGGAGGAGGAGGGGGCGAAGGCAGGAGAGGAAGCAACGCATGGGGAGGAGGAGGGGGCGAAGGCAGGAGAGGAAGCAACGCGTGGGGAGGAGGAGGGGGCGAAGGCAGGAGAGGAAGCAACGCGTGGGGAGGAGGAAGGGGCGAAGGCAGGAGAGGAAGCAACGTGTGGGGAGGAGGAAGGGGCGGAGGGGGAGTGCGGGGTGGAGGAGGAGCGGAGGGCGGGGGAAGGGTGGAACGTCACGGGGGTGGCGACGTTTGGGCGAGTGGAGGTGGAATGGGCAGGGGCGGAGCGGGCTGTCGTCAACCAGCGCACGTGCTTCTCCGTGACTGGTGGGTTTTGAGGCGCCTGACAAGGCGAGTGGAGGTGGAATGGGGGGGGGTGCAGCGGGCTCTGTCTTTTGAGTCGACTCAAAAGTCAGTTCTCTCCGTGACTGGTGGGTTTTGAGGCGCCTGAAAAGGCGAGTGGAGGTGGACTGGGCGGGGGTGCCGCGAGCTCTTGTCAACCAACGCACGTGCTTGTCTGTCACTGGAGTGAGTAGGGGACTGTGTAACGCTTATGGTGCACATATGCAAGGGGCCCCACCTACCTTTGTTTCGCACTTCCAAGCTGCTCTTGCTTTTACTCCCATGCCTTGTTCCAAGCTTCCTGAGAAAGCGCAATGTGTGATTCTCATCATGATCCGTGCCCTGCTTTGCTGTGCTCTTGCTTGGCTTGCATGGTCTGTGTCTTCATAATGCCGTTGCTGCCGGCTGCTGCTGCTGCTGTTGCTGCTGGTGCTGCTGTCACTGTTGCTGGTGCTGCTGCTGTCACTGCTGGTGCTGCCGTCACTGTCATTGCACGTGGCAGCATTCGATACAGCTGGAGACGCGTTCGACGTTGGTTGCAGGTGCGTGCGCCAGGGACGGACAGGTGGGCTGCAGAGGCCTTAGAGAGGCAGCTTAAGAGAGGCAGCTTAAGAGAGGCAGCTTAAGATCCAGCTTAAGTGCCAGCTTAGGGAGTCAGCTTAGGGAGTCAACTTAGCGAGTCAACTTAGCGAGTCAGCTTAGCGAGTCAGCTTAGTCAGCTAAAGAGCTGGAGACGCGTTCGACGTCGGTTGCGGGTGATGTGTCTACCACACCTCCCTCTCTCCCTCCCCTCTCCCCCCTCCTCTCCCTCCCCTCTCCCCTCTCCTCTCCCTCCCCTCTCCCCCCTCCTCTCCCTCCTCTCTCCCCTCTCCTCTCCCTCCCACCCGTCGGCGTCATGCCATGCCATGCCATGCCATGCCATCCCTACCCCACTGCTACCCCGTCGTCCCCTGCTGTGCAAGCATTCACTCCATCTCCCTCCGCTTGAGGCGCCTCAACTCAAATCAAGAGTCATCGTCCCCTGCTGTGCATGCATGCACTCACATCTCCCTCCGGCCCGCCTCTTTGCGTGGCTTTACATACACCCCCGTGCAAGCAAGCGTCCCTCTCCTCTCTCCATCGCCCCTCTGCACTCCTCTCCATCACCCCCCTCTGCGTTGTGCTGCAGGCAGCGGGCGTTCTTTGCGGCGCTACTCGCCTTTGACACCCTCGCCAACCGCTCTTCACACCCACTCACTGCTGCCTCCTCTCTCCCGCCCGACTCCGCCACCGCCACCACCATCACCAATACCAACACTACCAGCACCATCAGCGGCAGCAGCAGCAGCAGCAGCAAGGGCAGCAGCGACGGCGGAGTAGGTGGGGAGGATGTGGAGAGGAGGTGGAGTGAGTCCAGGAGAACGGCGAGAGTGACAGAGGCGCCAGCATGGGATGATGCTGTGGACGGGTGGACTGACTTGCGACTGGCAGCTCAAGTCAAGTACTGCCCCGCCTCCTCCTCCCACCAGGTGCTCTCCTCCTCCCACCAGGTGCTCTCCTCCTCCCACCAGGTGTTTACCAGGTGTTTTTCTCTCAAACAAATGGTTTTGAGTATAATTGCATGGTTCAAGCACCCCGGCCCTTTCGCTCTCTCTCTCCCCCGCCCGCACGACTTCCATGTTTGACCCGCCTTGAAATTCGCCTGCGCCCCACGCAAACACCCTTGCCCTCGCTCTCCCCGCCCCGCTCCCCCTTCCACTTGACCTGTGCGCGCTCTGCTGTGCTCTGCTGCTCCTTGTGTTTTCATGCATCCCACGGCATAATGGTGACGTTTGAGTCAACTCAAAGGTCGCTCCTTGTGTTCCCATGCATCCCACGGCATCATGCATCCCACGGCATCATGCATCCCCAGGTGTGCTTCACAGCGCCCTTCCCCGGCCCCTACCTGCTCTCGCTGCATCTGCTCTTCTCCAACGCCTGTCAAACCCGCACTGCTCTCAGCAGTCTCTACAACCAGGGCTTCCAAAAGTAGGTGCTACCTGCTGTGCTGTGTTGTGGGGGATTTGAACATTGTAAAGAAACACCTGGAGCAGTAGGCCTGCTGTGGAGGGCAGTGCAGAGGCTGCGGTGGCACGGAGTACCTCCTGCCAGCTTTCTGGTGCCTGTGTGTGCGCGTGCGTTTGTTTGTGCATGCATGTATGCATGTTTGCGTGTGAGCATGTGAGCATGTACGCATGTGTGAATTTGTAAGTGTTTGCATGTGTCTATGCATGCATGTGTGCATGCGTACGTATGTGCATGCTTCCAATGTGATTGATGTCTCTGCCATTACTTCCTTGGCCTGCATGCATGTACACGAACACTGACGCACACCTTCTCGCACCACGCACGCACACCCCCACCCATACCTACCCCAAACTTCCATCAGTCTCCCAAAAATCGCCAAACTAATCTCATCAATCCCAAACTCCCATCAGTCTCATTCACCTTTTGAGTCGACTCAAAAGTCTCCCAAACTCCCATCAGTCTCATTCACCTTTTGAGTCGACTCAAAAGTCTCCCAAACTCCCATCAGTCTCCCAAACTCCCATCAGTCTCCCAAACTCCCATCAGTCTCCCAAAAATCGCCAAACTAATCTCATCAATCCCAAACTCCCATCAGTCTCATTCACCTTCCATCAATCTACCATCAACCCCCCTCATCCACCCCTCCCAACGATCAATGAATTCATCGCTTATTCTCATGTTTCTTTGCCTGTGCATGGCTCCCTGTCCCATCACTGCCCACCTTTGAGACGTCTCAAAAGCCTGTGCATGGCCCCCCGTCCCATCACTGCCCACCTCCGTCCGTGCAGCTATCGTCTCGTGGCTCTCCGCAAGCTGCAAGTCACCAGCCTTCAATCCTACCTCCCAGACGCGCTCAGGTAAGCGTGGTGGTGGTGTCCCATCAGAGAGAGGTCACAATGCTGCAGCAGTGAGCTGGAGTAAGAGTCTTTAGTGTGCCTGGGGAGGAGAATGAAGAGCAAGGAGAGTTGCTTGCATAGAGGCAGTTCGGATTTGGGACGGGAGAATCATTGAGCCCATTCCCAGCAGCATTCCCTCATGCAGTAACCGATATCAAAATCAATCCATACGAAATCCGGATCAATCCCAAATTTATGTCCCGCATTTCCCCTTGTACCCTCTCCTTGCAGCGCACAGAGGGCCTCCCCTGGTGCTCGGCTGCCCTGCTGCCCTGCCGCCCTCGCCAGCAATGAGGGCTATTGGAGGGACCAGCAGTATGGAGTGCTTTCAAGGATTCGAACCAATGGACCCTCTTTCCCCCTTGTACCCCCCCCCCCCCCCCTCCCCATGGAGCACAGAAAGAGCCTCCCCTGGTGCACGCCTGCCCTTCTGCGGTCGTCTGGCAACGAGGGCTACAAGAAGGACCAGCAGTGGCGGCCCCACGCGTGCCGCCTCAAGGCCGTGCAGCCCGCCGGTGCTCTCCGGTGCTTCCACCGCCAGCAACGCGTGCTGCTCATGGGTGGGTAGGGGGGCTGCTCTTGGGTAGGGGGGCTATGGGTAGGGGGGTGTGTGCTGCTCATAGGTAGGGAGGGGTGTGAATGAGGGAGGGACGCGTGCCGCCGCAAGGCTGTGCAGCCGGCTGGTGCTCTCCGGTGCTTCCACCTCAAGCAACGCGTGCTGCTCATGGCTAGGGGATGAACATATGGCTAGGGGATGAACATATGGCCCTGAGCCACACAAATTGCTGATTCCAGCTCGCGCCATATGGTCGGAGGGAGGGTAGGGGGGGGATGATCATGGGTAGGGGATGCTGCTCGCGCATGGGTAGGGGGGGCTGCTCGCGCATGGGTAGGGGGTGCTGTGAACGAGAATGCCATATGGCCCTGACCTGAGCCACACAAAATGCTAAATCCATCTTAGCTAAGCTCGGCCGGGCTCGGCTGGGCTCGGCTGGGCTCTGCTTGGGTGGTTCAAGTAACGTTCCTATTCCAGCTCAACGCGAGCTGGCTCGTCTTGAACCCCCTCTTTTGTCACACCCTCCTGTGTCACACCCTCCTTTGTCACACCCGTGTACGGCAGGCGACTCAGAGATGCGCTACCTGTTCGGTTTCCTCCAGGTCTTCCTGCACGCACACTCACGTGCAGCCTTTGTGGACTCTGAGAAGGTCAACATGCAGGCAAGCACTCAAGCAAGCACGTGCCGTGTGTTTCCGCCTGCATGCCCGCCTGCTGCTACTCACCCCCGTGCGTGCATACTATCAACCGTGAGACAAGATTTTTGAGTCGACTCAAAAATCGACTAACTACACGCGGATTTTGAGTCGACTCAAAAATCGACTACTGCTACTCACCCCCGTGCGTGCATACTATCTACCGTGAGACAAGATCGTTTTCTCTTGGATTGAGACGTCTCAAAACTGCATACTGTGTACCGTGAAGCAATTTTGTTCTTTGAGGCTTCTCAAAGGTCAAACCACTCTGCTGCCACACGACCCTGTGAATACTGTAGGTACCGTGAATCGCATGTATTCGCTGTTCGTTCCCCTGTCTCTCTCCATCCGCGTCCCTGTGTCCCCAGCCCACTCTCTTCCTCTCTTCGAACCAACCTCCATTGCACCCATCTCTGCATGTCTGCCCGTGTGCTGCCTTCCATATCTGCCCCCCCACAGGGCTTTCACGGGTTTCACGGCTTTCCCCAGGTGTGGAGCCCGGGAGTGGAGGCGAGCAGCTGTTGCGGAAGCCAGTGCGCGGGCCACATCTGGATGGCACCGTGTACTATGGCTCGGCTTACAATGGCTTCGTTCGCATCAGGTGAGGTGTGGTGGGTGTGGTGAGGTGAGGTGAGGTGAGGTGAGGTGAGGTGAGGTGAGCCTGGGGGTGGGTCTTCAGTTTCACTCTCAATGAGCGCTGCACCTCGCGTTGCTTTGCCCCTCCCAGGTTCAACGTTACTAGAAGCGGCCGGGCCTTTGTGTTCAATCTAACGTACGTGACACAGATGGGGGCGAGTCGGGACGTGCTCCCAGAGTGGATGTTCAACACAAGTCTCCTGGGAGGTGATGTGCTGAGCCGCGCAGACACGCCCTTCCAGCTCGTCGCCTATGGTGCCTCCCTGCACGACCTCACCACACACAACTCAACACTGGACTACAGAAGAGCCGCAAGTGCGTGGAGAGTGAACGGTAGTCCCTTTTTTTTGTTTCCTTTCTTTCTGCGATGCACATGCGTTCAGAGCATCTCCATTCTTCCCGAGTTTCATGTGGTGGTTCTAATTGTGTTCTAATCGTGCTATTGCACTCCGCCTCGTTCCAAGCCTCTCGCACCTGCTGCTCTCTCATGTGCGCTTGCATGCTGCCTCTTCCTCTCCTTACCGTTTCATATGCTCTGTGCGGTGGTCCCCTTGTGCCTCTCCTTGCCCTCTCAGCCTCGCACCTGCTGCCCAGCATGCGCCGTCACTTACGAAACGCGCGGCGAGTGACTTTAGAGGCGCCTCAACAGCCGCCTCATGTGCTCTGTGCTGTGTTCCCCATGTTCCTCCCCTTGCCCTCTCAGCCTCGCACCTGCTGCCCAGCATGCGCCGTCACTTGCGGGCCGCACGGCGGCGGGTGACCTTCTTTGGCCCATGGGCAGCCAGAGAGGACATTAAGCCACGCTGGGTGATCAACAAGAGCAACAACGTGCGTGGCATAGCCTTCGAGGAGGAAGCTTCCAGGTGGGTGGCACTTCAGGGGAAGTTTTCAGGTGGGTGACGCTCCAGGAAAAAAGCTTCCAGGTAGGTAGCGCTGCAGGAGGAAGCTTTTTAGTTGGTGGTGCTTTTGCAGCATGAGAAGGTGGTGAGAATGCCATCTTCTTGCTTCAATATCATCAAGAAATGATTTCCCTCCTGAAATTACTGATCATGTGACGTGGTAGAAAACAGCAAGTCTTTCTTTTGGACTGCATGCCTTGAACTAAACTCCTTGCTTCCTGCTGTGATCTTCTAACCTCCTATTGGTGTTTTTTTCTTTCTTTCTTTTTTTTTTTTCCCCATGTCAGGCTGCTCCCACTGAAAGGTTTTGAGAGATTTGTGCCAATGACCTCTCTAACGCTGCCTCGTCCTGACTTGTCACCTGACAGCACACACTACTCGTGGGTGGTTACACTCGCCATGCTGGATATTTGGTTCACCACTGCTTGCTTAAAAACATAATGGTTTCCATTAAAGCCCGTGCACCGTAACCTCCCCAAATATACAGCTCCACGCGTGTCTCAACGATCTAGAGATAGGGTTATGGGTGTGCGGGGAATGCTGTATAAAAATATTAAAACATATGGTTTTTAATCATATCGTTAGAACTAGACTGCAACAGCTAGTGAAGGCTGCAATTTCGAGTTGGTAAGGACGTTCGCATGCGACTGTGGCGAAGACTGGGAGGCGAGGAAAAAAGTGACATTCCTCCTAGAATTCTCATTCGGGCTTCGATGCGACCCATTTGTTATCTAGAACCGCCAGCAAGAACGCGACGTGACCGCGACGTAACCGCGACGCATCCCGGCATGAGGCGATCGTTGCAGGCATCCGCGTCAGCGAGCTACCCCCTTCCGCTTCCCCTGCCAGCAGCAAGCGAGACGGAGACACAAAGCGCGCGACGCGATGACGACATGCACGAGAGCCGGGAGGCGCGGCGACGCAACGAACCGCATGCGCCGTCTTGAATTCGTGCGGCGGCCAAGCCAAGCGACTGCCTTGTTCGTAACAAGCTGGAATGCCAACCTGCTAGGTCCAATCCGGAATCTTGCGCAACAAGGAATTACCAATCAACTTTACACGTCCTTACGAGCTCGGCTTTAGTCGGCCTCTACATAAAGGTCTGAGGGCGACGATACTCGGATACTTCTTTAGGTTAATCTCCCAAGAACCGAAGTAGCTGTTTCATCCAGTTATTACAAGGCTTCTGATACACCAAGAAATTTGATATTCCTGACCCCATATTTCCCGTGCCCCGCAACCCGTAATCAACAACGATGCTCGCTTCCGTGTTCGCCTGCCGCTCTCTCCGCAACTCGTGCCCGTCGCTACGCCCGGCGGCGGCAGCTCTTCTCCTCCAACCTTCCTTGCTAGCTTCTAGTAGCGGGCCTGGTGGGTTGCGACACGCGAGCGAGAGCATTACTGGGGTCGATGCGGCGCGGGGTACGCGCTTCCGTTTGTATCACAAGAACGTGGTGGACCATTACAATCACCCGCGCAACGTGGGCGCGTTCGACAAGCGCGATCCAGATGTCGGCACGGGGTTGGTGGGCGCGCCGGCGTGCGGCGACGTGATGAAGCTGCAGATCAAAGTGGACGCGGAGGGGAGGATCGTCGACTCGTGCTTTAAGACCTTCGGATGCGGCTCCGCTATTGCGTCTTCGTCCCTAGGTGAACATCATGGCCTGGCTCGCTGGTAACTGAGTTAAGGTAGCGTTAGAAGTTGCTAAGTTCTAAAAGGCAGCACTGTGGCGATGCTTTTGCACCGTGGGTTACTCAAAGCCCTTGGGAAGGGGAAGGGCTCTGGGAAGGGCCTTTTGCACCGATAGCACCCTCTTGCTCCTTGGAATGGGCACTCGTAACATACTTCTTTGATTCCCGGTGTGGCTGTGATGAGGGCATGATGCGATGACAGCTTATTATGATAAGGGCAAGTGGTGAAAGTATGTGATGAAGGCATAGGGAGGCGTCTAGAGTGCTAGCAGCTGCTGCTGTGCACATGCGACAAGATTTCCTAATCATATGTTTGCTGCTCGTTCGATTCGCTTGGCAGCCACGGAGTGGGTGAAGGGCAAGCACGTCGACTCGGTGCTCCAGATCACCAACAGGTGAGCTTTCGCTGCTCGCCGCACATTGCCTTGCTCTCTGTGCTCACCTGATTCACTTTGATTCGTGGGAGCGCCAGGTGGTGTAGCTATGCGTATGCCCTGCTGCATGCTGCCTACTGTGTGCGGCTGAGCAGATGCGAGATGCACCATGTGTGAACCATGTGTGCTAGCCTTACAGGGCCTCACAGGCCCTCACGGGTCCCATGTGTACTGTGTGTGATGGAACGATCGACAGTATTGTTGTACTGTGCGTTGCTAGTTCTGGTGTTGCTCACCGCTCATGCACTCTCTCCCATTCACTCTCCTGCGCTTCTAGCCCCATCACCTCTCTCCTGCCATCTGTTGCTTCTGATCTGGGATGCTCTTTCCCCGCAGGGACATTGCGAGGCACCTGTCGCTGCCCCCTGTGAAGCTGCACTGCAGCATGCTGGCAGAAGATGCCATCAAGGCAGCTGTGCATGATATCAAAGCCAAGAGGCAGCAGCAGTAGAGGCGGCACAACCAGAGTGAGAAAGGACTAGTAGTAGAAGATGTGATCTCTCTTTCCCCACCTGCCCTGTGAAGCTGCACTGCAGCATGCTGGCTGAAGATGCCATCAAGGCTGCTGTTCACGACATCAAGGTGAAGCGACAGCAGCAGTAGTGGCAGCATGTGCAGAAAGAGTGAGAAGATGTAGACGCTGTGAAGGAAGGGGTGAAGCAGCAGCAGTAGGGAGCTGTGGCATCTGTTTTCCCTCACAAACAGAGCCTGCGCTGCAGCATGCTGGCTGAACATGCAACTGTGACAGCTGTGAACGGTATTACGGTAAGGGGACAGCAGAAGCAGAAGCAGTGAGGGAGCATTACAACTTACCGGTATGAAACAGCAGTAAAGGCAGTGGAGGCAGTGACGGATGGAAGCAAGGAAGCCAGAAGGTGGTAATGCTGTGGAGTTTGTTGCAGCAGCGAGCTGTGTTTCTGCTCATTGCAGCTTTGAAGAATCTACGGAGAAGCGCAGTTGCTTTCTAACGATACTGCATATCGTTGTACAGGGTGTAGCGTATATTTTGTACATAGTGTAAGCTTTTTAAATAGTACGTCCTACTGCAGCAAGTTTGCCACCACTAACTCCACAAACATGTTTGCAAAACAGTTTGATTTTGCAAGGTTGTTGCTGTTTTACTGTGTTGAACATTGGATCTAGCCCAGGAGAGGGTTGCTGAGGAAGGGGTTGCTCTGTTGGTGCCTTTGACCGCACAAAGGGGTCATCTGTGTTAAGAACTCATCATAGAAAGTTGATATGCCTACAAGCCACATGGTACCTACAACTACTTTACCTAACCTAACAAGGGCAGAAACACCCGCCCAAGGTTGCCTACCTCGTGCCTACCAACACATCACCAGGAATTCGCTTCCTGACTGCTCTCCACACCACAAGGTGAACCACTCTCACCACGCAACCTCCTCCTCTCTCTCCCCTTCTCACTGCGTCCCAACCTTCCCACCTCCCGCCCTCCCTTGATCCTCCCCGTCTTCACCCCATCCCCGCCACTCAACCTCCTCTTCCTTCGCCGCCGGTACGCACGCATCACATGCGGCAGGCCCCATGTCGCCACCACATCCCCCTCTATCTCGTCCGCTGGACTGTCCCCCTTCTCACTCCCCTGCTCCACACGCCGCAATCCCTCCTCCCCCTCCCCTACACCCTCCTCCTGAAGCATCCCCACACCGCCCCCACCCTTGCCTGTTTCTGCACCCTCCTTCCCCTCCCTTTCCACATCAAACCCGTCGGGGTTCATAGCAGACACCCTTCCTGCGGTATTGCAAGCTGGCAACAACTCCTCATCATCAGCATCGCCACCCTCCTCCTTCGTATTCCCCTCATTCTCACCCCTCACATCCTCATCCCCTTCATCCATCTCTTCATCCCCCGTATCCCCATCACCCATCCGCATACCGCTGGATCCATCAGAACCACCTCTCACCGCACCATCACAGCCCATATCAGCATCACTGCCCCCCCTACTGCCATTCCCATTTCCAAAACCAGTCCCAATCTCACTCCCACCCATTGCACCCACGCCCACAGCACCGCCCTCAACTCTCATAGCAGCAACCACAGGCACAGCCCCAGCTCCATCCCTTCTCAACTCACAGCTCCCATCATTCCCCCCCATGCGGGCCTCATCCCCTTCAGAAGCTTGCCCGCCCACCAGCAGCAGCGCAGGGTTGGGGGTGTCTGATCCCTCTGGCATACCTCCATAAGACTGGGTTTCCGTCCCCACTCCACCACCTTCACATGTGACTCCCTTCTTCTCCTCCCTCTGCTTCCCTTCCACAGCACCACCGTTACCATCAGCACCCCCGCCATCATTACCGTCTGGTTCACCTCCCACTATCTCCCTAGCTGCAGCCGGAAAACTATTCGCACAAGGTGCTTGTTCCTGCTCCTCCAAAGGTGACACCGCCTGCTTGCGCTGCTGCTCCTGTTGCTTCTTCTTCTGCTGCTGCTCCTGCTCCTGTTTCTGTTGCTGTTCCTGTGCTGGCATCACCCCCAGCTGCTGCTGCGGCTGCTGCGCTGCCAGCACTTGTGACGCGGAGAGCAGCTGCGTGGGGGGCAGCTCCTGCGTTTGCAGCGCCCTCTGTGACTCTGCCTGTGACGGCTGCTGTGATGGCTGCTGTGAGGGCTGCTGGGATGCACCAGGCACTTGTGACTGCGACTGCCGCTGGGAAGGGTTTGGGGTTTGTGAAGCACCACCAGTGGGTGGTGATACTAACGGCCCTTGCGACTGGTACTGACTCTGGGACTGAGACTGCCCTTGTGACTGCTCTGGCCCTGGTGACTGTATTAGCCCTTGGGAGTGAACCTGCCCCTGTGACTGAACCTGTGATAGCAGTTGAGTCGCCACCTGTGTCTGTGTCTCTGTCTGCCCTGCCGCTACAGCCTCTCTTGGCCCATGCCTTTCCAAACAACCCTGCGTTTCTGTGTACCCTTGCGTCTCTATTTCTGTCTCTGCTTCTGACCGTGCTCCTAAATGAGCACCAGCATCACCCTTCAGAGAGCTCCTTCCCATTCCCTTCCCCACAACCCCTGCCACCTCCACCTCCTCTCGTTGCCCTGCTGCTCCGTCCCTCTCCGACCCCTCCTCCCCCTCTGCACCCTCCCCCGTCTCCTCCTCTCCCCATGCCGTGAACCCCTCTTCCATCACCCCTCCTCGTTCAGGCGACTCACAAGTGTCGTCCAGCATCCCCCCCGAGAACCCCTCCAGCATCCCTCCGCGCCCGCCACTGTATTCCTGTGTCTCTGCCTCCATCAGCTCCTCCAGCCGCTCATCCAACGGCCCACCTTCTTTGTTCAACCCATCAAACCGACCATCCAACGGCCCACCTTCTTTGTTCAACTCATCAAACCGACCATCCAACGGCCCACCTTCTTTGTTCAACTCATCAAACCGACCATCCAACGGTTCCTCACCCGTGTCCAGTCGATCCTCCAACGAACACTCTTCCGTCTCTTCATATCCTCCTTCCCCTTCCTCCTCTCGTGTGTCCCTCCCCCCATCACCTAGTCCCCTCCCATCTTCTTCTGTCTCCCTCATCCCTGCTCCTCCCTCACCACGCCCTTCCCCCTCATCCCCCCTAAAGAGCTCCCTCCGTACAAGCAACAAGCCCTCCCTTTTCTCAACCCTCTCCTCCGCCCGTCCACTCACACTCCCCTGTGCTACACCACCACGTGCCTCAGCTTCAGCACGAGGCACCTCACCTTCTACAGGGCACGTATCACCGCCCCCCGCCATTCCACCCCCCGCCATTCCACCCCCCGCCATTCCACCCCCCGCCATTCCACCCCCCACCATTCCAACCCCCGCCATTCCTTCCCCCACCAGTTCTCCCCCCACCACTCCCTCTCCCACCTCGGCTTCTTGAGTCATCTCCTCATCCTCCTCCTCCCCTCCCTCCTGCTTCCCCGCAGCCCCTTCCAACCCCTCACTCCCCCTCCCCCCACCTCCCGCCTTCCCCTCCCCTTCCCCATCCTGCAGCACTTGAAACATGCGCGTCAGCTGCTGCTGCTGCTCCAGGTGCGCTCTCAGCATCTGCTGCTGCAGCTGCTGCTGCCGCTGCTGCTGCGGCTGCTGCTGCTGCTAGCTGCGCCCGCACCACCTGCTGCTGCAGCTGCTGCTGCGACTGCCCCAGCGCCGTCTGCTCCTCGTGCGCCTGCTCCATCTGCTCCTGCAGGCATGCTATGTGGTTCGCTGTTTTCTCGAATTCCCTCTTTTGAGCATCCCTGCTAAACGCACACAGGCAACGGGGAAAACCCGGAGGAGGGAAAAGGGAATGATGAGGAGGCGGTGGGTGAAGGAGAGGGAGGGGAGGCAAGCGGATACCAGCAGGTGTGTGGAGAGCCAGAGAACATAGGAGAAGAACAGGACGTGGGCAAGGGGGCAACATTCATGAATAGCTGACACCCTACACCCTGCATCATACATACCGCAGCATGATGCGTTCTCGTGCTCCCTGCAACCGCCTCTGCTCCACTGACAGCTGCGTCTTTGCCTTCCGAAGCTCCCCTGCCAAGCCACAGGCTCGGGCCTCCGAAGATGCCAGCAAGGCCTGGAAGAGGCTCGGAGTAAACAACCACAGGAACACACAGAGAAACATCAAGCAAAAGATCAGCACATACTTGACTTGATGTGAAGGAGAGTGGACGGAAGCGGTGGAGGAAGAAGCACGTGTGACAGTACTGAAAAACGTAACACTTGTAATGCACCGCACCTGCAGCTGAGCCGCTTCCCCCTCCTTCCCTGCGAGAGCCCCCTCCAAGGCGGCCACTCGCTGCTGCAGCTGCCCTGCCCGCCCCCTCTCCTCCTCCAGCAGCCCCTCCGCCCTCCTCGCCCTCTCATGCCCCGCTACCACTGCTGCCCTCTCGCCCTCCTGTGGGAAGACGGACAACAGGGAGCGAGGAGGTGAGGGAGGGTTGCTGTGGATGGCAAGTGAGCCGTGATGGGCTGGGAATAAGGACGAACTGAGCATGATGCTACAGAATGCGAATGAGTGAATGAGTACATGACATGACTCACCAGCTTGGCAGAAAGGGAGTCAATGGCTGCCTGCCTCTCCTCGTTCTTAGCCTGCAATGAGAAGGAGAGAGGGAAAGAGAGAGGTGAGAGAGTGCATGGACGGCTTAAGAAGTGAGAGAGACGGTTGCACACTGGCATTGGCACTGACAAAGCGAGATACTGGCATTGGCACTGAGAAAGCGAGATACTGGCATTGGCACTGACAAAGCGAGATACTGGCATTGGCATTCACACGGCTACCACAACCCGGTAGGTTGCAATCACCACATGGGTTGCAACAGGTGGATTGGCCTTGGCACAGGCCACAGACCACAACACTCACCACGAGCGCAGCAACCCTTTCTTGAAGCTCCTTCACTGCCCTCTGGGATCTCTCTGCAGCAGCTGCTGCCTCTGCTGCTGCGGCTGCCTGCACTCGCTCCACTGCTGCTTGCCTCTCCGCCTCCATCTCCCTCCTCTCCCTCCCCCTCTCCTCCGCCTCCCTCTCCCGCTCCCTCCATGCCCTCTCCACCTCCGCTAGCAGCCTGTACAGCACAAGAATGATGCGCATGAGATGTAAAGATGTGAGAAGTGGAGCACCTGGGGAGGCGAGGACGCGAGACTAAGAGGGACAATTGGAATGACTGAATGTGGCACTGTGGGGGATTCCCCATTGTAAACTCTCTCCAACTCACTCTGCTTTCGTAGCTTCTGCCTCGGCCCGTGCTTTCCTCTCAACAGCCAATCGCTCGCCGACACCTGTCAGCTCCTCCTGCAGCCGCACCACCTCCCCCTCCGCCTCCTCCTGCCTGCTGGCTGCAGCGTCTCTCTCCCTCTGCGCCTCCTGCACGCGCCCCTCCCACTTCTGCTGCACCTCCATGCGCGCACTCACCACACCCTGCCATGCGGATTGCAGGGTAGGAAGGGGCGACACAGAAACACCATTGGAAATGGCTCCGGGGGGGAGGGGAGATATGAGGAGAGGAGATAGTACCCCCTGTGACTTCATCCCACCCCCCACCCATATGCATCATTCCCTCCCTCCTGTGCCACACTCTCTGCACCACTGGGTGTGTCTCTGTGTGTGTGACCACCCCTACCCAACACACGCTCACCTCCTCGTGCCGTCGCTCCTCCTGCTGTCGCTGACTCAGCATCTCATCCATCCTAGCAGCCTCCGCGTCCAGCTGCTGCCGGAGCTCCTCATTGGCCCGCCGCAGCTGCTTCATCTCCTCCAGAATCGCCACGTCAGCAGCAGGCAAGGCCACTTCAGCAGGCGAACCAGCTCCAGCAGCAGCAGAAGCAGTAGCACCCGAGGTAGCAACAGGAGTGACTGGGGCAAGGGTAACCCTGCCAGTGCCAGTCGTTGATGCCCCAGCAGCGCTGGCAGTAGGCAATTCTTCAGCACCAGCAGTGACTGTTCTCCCAGCAGCAACAGCACTAGCAGCACCATCAGGGGAGACCGAGCTCCGAAGGGACCCTCTTGACCCTCGCCGCCGCTTCGGAACCCCTCCTGCTACGATCCCCCCATCGTCTGGACCCAAAGCTACGCCTCCTGCTCCCAACCCCGACCCTGGGAGCGGTGGGGGAGAGTGCATGGACAGTCGGCGCGCTGCTGCAGGGGAGGAGCGCGGAGGAGGGGGCAGCATCTGGCCTTTCACAGAGGGGGATCCCACAGGGGGGCCGTGAGTGGTGTCTGTCCCATGGCTTGCATCTAACGCCATAGGGCTCGGATTGGAGCTCAAGGCTTGAGCCTTCCGCTTCACCAGCACTGTTGCTGCTGTGTGTGCCACGTCTGCGCCCTCTCCTTGCTCTCTCTTCACACTCACACCGCGCACGGTCCCACTGACTGGACCCGCTCCTCCTGCTGCTGCGCACCTGCCTAGGTACTTCCCTGCGGCAGGAGGGGAGTGCAGGCCCCTAGCAGCAGAAGCAGCAGCAGCAGCGCCATTGGCAGGAGCAGGAGAAGCAGCTGGTAGTTGTGCGCCTTCCACGCGCAGGAAGACAAACGTGTGGGCCACCTCTGCGGCGCATGGGGATAAGGATAAAAGGAAGGACAATGTTAGAGGCGCCTCAGCAGTCAGTATGGAGATAAAACGAATCACGTGCAGAGGGGCAAATGTGTGAGGGTGGTTAACGGAGGGGGTGATGACAGGGCGACCACATTACGCGGCATAAACAACTCCATCTGCCTCCCACACACCCGCCCACACACCTGCATCTGCCGCCCACACACCTGCATCTGCCGCCCACACACCTGCATCTGCCGCCCACACACCTGTCTCTGGCGGCCCCACGAGCGACAGCACATCGCCATGCTTCAGCTGCTGGGGGGGTCCATTCCTCTGCAGCCTTGTTCCATTGATGAACGTGCCGTTGGAGCTGGGTGGTGAGGGAAGTGATGCAGAGCGACGGGGCGAGCAAAGGAGAGAAAGTGAGTACTGATGCAGCCGTGTGAGGATTCAACGCATGAGCAGCAGCAACATATGAAAAAAAAAGGTGGTGACATGACAGCACGATAAGCAGAACGAAGCCAGCGAATTTACCTCGCGTCCTTGACCACAACAATGAACCCCTCCCTGCTTCCTCCATCCCTCTCAGCTCCTGCTGTTGCTTCCTCCACCCCAGCAGCTGCTTCCCCCTGCGGGGACGGGCGTGCCTCGCCCGTCTGTGGAGGCGCAGGGGCTTCCCCAGCGGAAGTGGGAGGCGGGGGGAGGCAGGAGATGGTGCAGTGGCGCGCGGAGACGGAGGGGCTGGCGAACTGGAAGGGCGGAGGCACCAGGCGGCCCAACAGGGTGTCGCGATTCACCAGCGGGATGAGCGGGCCCTGCATGGGATGGGGTCCGTGAAAGACCTAGAATCAGCCTGGGACGATGAAAAGGCTACAGCTTTTTGGATAAAAAACAACTGCATGCCGCGGCAAATTGGGCGATGGGTGTAGGTGAGCGACGCTGAAATGTCTTCCAAGTGGTGACTGGCGTACCTTCGGTCGTTGCTTCGCGTTCGCGTTGATACCGTGGAGAACACCCCACTGGCCACGTATGTAACACTTCGGCGACGATTTCGCCAGCTCTTTCGCGAGTTCGTATGATGAGACCGGCGGCGAGGACGAGCAGGACGGAACCCCTGCCGTTGGTGCTGCTGACGTGGCAGGAACTGCGGATCCTGGCGGTAGTTCCGGCTCATTCGCCATCCTCGCTAACGAGTGATCTAATATATGCCTACTGCCTCGCGCTGGTCCAGCTATCGATGCTGGAACGCTTACGGGTGATGCTTCTATAACCGGCGTTCTGGTTTGTCGGGGAACGATCAGACGCGATGCTATTCTGCTGAAAGGACTTAACTCATGAGCGTCGACCGACTTGCGCGACTGATTCGCGAAGCTATCGTCAGACGCTGACGGAAGAGAAGAGGAAGCGAACGGACGACGAGAAAAAATGGCCATGATTTACGCTAAACGGACGTTTTCGCTTTACTGGGTCCCATGAAACAGTCCTGTGCCAAACTCGCACTCCTTTGAAATACATGGTAGGTCGCTTTTAGCAAACCAAGAAAGACGGGTGAACAAGCATCTGCAAATAGCGTCAAAGTGACGGAGAGCGAGAGGCTTCAGGGAGACGCTACACGAAGCACGGTGAAGTGTGGCTTGCACTAATGCTGAGAGGTGAGGTACGTCAAGAGCTGGGCGGGGAGAGGTTACCACTACGACGATGACTAAGATGACTACTAGTGATCTTTGCGGAGGGGAAGGCTACTGGTTTCCTGTGAGTCACAGAGCTGTCTTCATGAGGTCCCCGTGGCGTGAAGCTAACGTCACACACTTTTCCCGCCAATTTCTGGGTGTGGTGTGGGGCGGAGATGTACAAATTGTATTTTGAATGTAAGAACTGCTTTAGAATCCTCGTTTTGCATTCTTCCTAACGAGGATGCAATGTGTTCGTGCCATCCTCTGCCACCTGGACAAAGCAAATCTTCCCACTATCTCCAGCTTGGAAAGTCGTGCTTTCCGCCAATAAGTAAATTCCACATCTCACTAGCTGGCCACGAAACGATGAACCAAGAACCACAGTGACACAATCGAGGGCAGCGACTGAGAGAATGATCAGCCACTCTGCGGGGCGAATTTTTGGGATTCCAACTTTCAAGGCAAGAGGCAAAACCGTTTCATCGACAATTTCGAGATTCAGCTCAATCCTGATTCCTGCTTCTTTCTGAGCTCAACTGACCTTGAGCAAAAACCAGAGACACTTCACCTTCCAGAATTCGAGTTTCAGGAGTTTCTCAAGTGTCAGCCATGTCTTGCACCGCGTCGACCTCCGCTCTCTCGTGCACAGCAGTTGTCGCATTGACGCCACAAAGCGGCGCGACACGGTATGCTCTTATTATATTGGAGACAGTATATTATCGTTAGCAGCCGTCGCTTCGTGCATTGCAGGTAGTACCGCAAACACACCCGCCATTTCGTAAATCTATCGTCCATTTCCCGACCTGCAGGACCGCTGCAACTCTCAGCTGCAAGAATGCGTTCGGCAGCAGCCTTCGGCTGACAAGCCGCGCGCGGGCTGCGAGGCCTCAGTCGCAACGCCGCGTTGCGGTGGTGTCGCCGCGAGCGGTGGACATTCTGACGTGGGACGAGGCGAAGGAGGCGGTGGACAAGGACGGGTATGCCATCGTGGATATCCGTGACGTCACGCAGTACGATCGCGCCAGGATTTCCGGCAGCCTTCACATTCCCGCGTTTATCCTCAACACCGACAACGACGTGGGTATGTGAACTCGTCTTCCGTGGTCCGTGCCAAATCGTCGAATGCTGAATATCCCTCCGAAGTGTTTCATCACCCAGCGGTGGTGATATCACTCAAGGAATGCTTCCCGCGCATCCCCTTCCCCGCGCCAGGAACGATTATTCGACGGGCGGCTCACACGAGCATGCCCGGCAATCTGTACGGGCTGGCGTTCACCAAGCCCAACCCGGACTTCATCTCCACCATCCGTTCCAAGTTCCCCTCGCCTGACGCCAAGATCCTCTTCGTCTGCCAAGAGGGCCTCCGGTAAGTGTACAAGTACATATTCAAGATGTGCGTTAGCGTGCAGAATTTCCTCAACGGAAGCTTAACACGAGAACGAAAATGCTATCTGAGATTGGAACTGGTTCGCCTCGGATTTCGTTGAAAAAAAATATAACTTCTGGTTGTGTGCCGTTCATTTGAGCATTTATTTTTGCCACCCTTATCCGCCAATGCCCTTCAGCTCGCTGTCCGTGGCGTCGGACCTAGAGAGGCTCGGATACACCGACGTGGTCATCACGGAGGGACTCAACAAGCTCAAGCCTGGTAAGTGCGGTATCGGCAGAACCTAAGAATGGCAATCGCATCTGGACTAAATTCAAAGCAAATCACGAGCGACTTTGATCACTGTAGCTTGTTCCGTTTTGTGTTCCACGCCTCTTTGTCCATGTTTATTGCATTCAATGTGGTTCGATCTGCTGAATTTGTGCAGGAGTGTTCCCAAAGGAGGGCCAGAGGGAGCTTCAGGACGCAGGCAAGGGAGGGTTTGTTTCCATCCAAAAGGAGTTCTCCATCGTTCTCGGGTCTATCCTCATTTGTAAGTGACATGGCATCCGCGGCAGGGTTGTGGTTACAATGGCAACTGACATCATGCGGCCTTACAGAGTGAGTGACACTGCCTTGTCGTGAGCTTAACAGAGTCGCTTTGAGTTGTCCTGGTGTCCATGCCCTGTTCTCTCCTTTTGTAGCTAAATATACGTCTCATGAGCTCTCACAGATTGATCCTCTGTTGCACGCATCGCTTCCTCTCACAACAACTCACCCCCTCTACCCACGTCACTGCAGGCGCCATTCTGTTCCTCAAGTTCTTCCCAGAACAAGCTGAGGTCATCTTTGGCAGCCTGTAAGGTTTTTCAAGGGGTGCAGCTTGTCCTGCTCTCACTGTGATTTGCACTTCTGCAAGATTGTGTCTATACTGTGAAGCAATGTATTCTGCCTGTAGCTTGTATCAACAGCAGTACGAAGCACCTCCAGACAGTCATAAATAAAGCAGGAAGGCTAAATGCGCGGTTATGAGAAAAGGGATGACAACATGCGTTTTTTTTTTATACATACCGTACATCTTATTGAGTCCTTCGTCGCTGTACTCCTCTGGTTATTCGGAAAAAAAAAAATGAAAATTTCCTTTATTGACAACTCTCCGTCGAAGATTATCTAACTATGTGAACAGGGGCACGTAGTGTAGGCTCATTCTCATTTGGGCCTGGAGTCTGGACCACGCCTGTGCTCCATTAGGTCCTCCAGGTGATAATGATCATATTGTAATTGTACTTCTCTTTTCAGCCTGCCTGCCGCTTCACTTACACAAGGACAGCTCTCCTAAGTAAATGCCTCAAGACAACCAAGGCAGGGCAAACAAGATGTTTACCATGCGCCTACCATTCACACCTCACATGCAATGGTAGCTGCCTAACGGGTACCGATTGAGAGCAGCTTGCGGCGAGGGATAAGGGGGAGGAGCGAGCGAGGGAGGCAGGCGAGAGAACACGGGAAGGCGAGAGAACACGGGAAGGCGAGAGAACACAGGAAGGCGAGAGAACACGGGAAGGAGAGGGAGCAGCGGAAAGTGAGGGGGCAGCTACTGGTGAGGAGTGGAGGGAGTAGAAGCTGGTGAGTGGAGGGAGCAGATGTTGGTGAGGTGCGGAGCAGTGGAAGATGCACTCAGGTTCGTTGCAGGTTCGGAAGAAACACCCGAACCTCACACTCCTCCGTGACTGCCATCAGCTTCGGCACCAGCAGCTCGATACCGGACCTGGTGGCAACATGGACAAGCAAAGCAATGAATGAGAAAGTGATGCTGTCACCGCACTGAACCACTTCATCCAACAATGAACAGACCTCCACTAGTATGGAATTGCTTCATCGTACTTCCACACTCACCCGTCTGCTGACACACTGGCTGCCACGTCAGCATTCTCCGGTATGCGCTGGGGCAGCTGCACCTCCCGTTCAAATGGGCCAACAGGGCAGTGCTCCCCCAGCCAATGGGAGCGTGACACTTGGCGGAACGTGCGGCCGGAGTGAGATACGGATGACGGAGGGAAGATGGCGGCACAGGAGATCTGATTTGGGTTGAAACGGGGGGGGAAATAGGGAAGGGGATGGTGGAAGGGCGGAAGGGGTGGAGGGGAGTGGAAGGGGTTTGACTTAGAAAGGCAATTCGATTGGGGACTTGTGAAAGAGAGCAGAAGGCAAGGTTAGTGTGATGTGGAGATACCAACTAGAAGGTTAGTGTGATGTGGAGATACCAACTAGAAGGTTAGTGTGATGTGGAGATACCAACTAGAAGCTGTGCATGGGTGTATGCCTGCATGAGGGCAACATGTGGATTGCATCGGTGCATGGGTGCATGGGTGCATGGGTGCATGGGAAGGTGCTTGCCAGCACCACTGCCTTCCCCAACAAGCCACCCAGCGCACCTTGACTATCCCCGCAGCACCGTCGTTGCGCCACGTGACTCGGAGGCAGGATAGGTCGCAGTGAGGCAGCGACACGAGCAGCAGGTACGCCGACGCATCCTCATACAGCGTGCATGCGCACGTGGGCGGACCCACAGCCTGTGATGGGAAAAGGGGAATATATGATGAGGCAGAGGCGCCTCCGAACAAGACGCATGCTGCATTTCTGTACAGCGTGCACGTGCATGTGCACGTGGGTGGAACCACAGCCTGCGGCCAAGGAGCAATGAGAGAGCAAGGGGAGAACAAGAGAGTCACAAGTCACATGACTTCGAGGCAGTCCCAGATTACAGGGGAGGTAGTGAGTGAACAGTGCCATTTTAAAGGGGAAGTGCCATGCCTGTGCTAGTGTGCCTGATGCCCCTCCTCTCCATCCCATGGCTGCTGTGGTGAGCCCAGGCCCTGGGTCCAATCCCCTGGCCACAACCCCACTTGCTCCTGCTCCCTCCCTTGATGCACCTGCTCCCTCTCCTCCTCTCTCCTCCTCCCCAATACCCACTCCTCCACCCTGCTGCCGAGGCATCCCCTCGCCCACCACCCTGCCCACCCTTCCTCCTGCTCCTAAGCTGACTCCAGCAACACTCGCACCGTTTGGCATACTCCCGTTTCCACTCCTCCTCCCCTCTTGCCCAGGTCTCTCTATGCTCGCATTCACGTGCCCCCTGCGGCTCAGATTGAGAGGGCTCAGATTGGGGGGGCTCAGATTGGGGGATGCCAGGCCAGGATCCTCATGCACGCCTTCACTATAGTCACGCGCCGATGCACCCACGCTTGTAGACGACAGCCCCGGCTGCGTCTCAGCCTCACTTGCAGCTTCGGTGGCAGGCTCGGTCCGAAGCGTGGTGGCTGGTTCGGTTTGAGGTGTGGCATCGGGCTCAGTGCCCAGTCTACGGTGGAGCTCTGCTGCATGGGCCATAGGAGATTGAGCTCTTGACCCCAATGCTGGTGCTGCTGCTGCTGGTGGTGCTGGCACTCGTGCTGGTGCACGTGGTGTTAGTGGCGGTGCAGGTGCAGGTGGTGCTGCTGATTGGATAGCTGGGTGGAGAAAGGTTGCTGCCAGGGAAGCTGCTGCTGCAGCTGCAGCTGCTGTTGCTGATGCTGCTCGTGCGGGTGGAGCTGCCATTGACAAAGAAGTTGGTCTTTGGCGTCTGTGCGCCTGCCGGTCTTGCAGCTGCTGCTGCTGATGTTGGTGGTGGTGCTGCGGCTGCTCTGGCTGCGGCTGTTGCTGTTGCTGCTGCTCCCTCTGCTGCTGCTGCTGCTGCTGCTGCTGCTGCTGATGATGACGAGGACAAGCATGTTGTAGCTGATTGTGGCGTTGCTGCTGCTGCTGTTGGTGCTGCTGTTGCAAATGCCACAGCTGCTGCTGCTGCACGTGTGCTGCTGCCACACCTCGGCACAAACCTGATCTCATGCTCATGCCTGCAATCGACTCATCTGCCCCACCTCCTGCAATGCTTGCCCGGTCCCTCTCCTCTGCAGCCGCTCCATCCCGACCAACGATGGCAGAAGGACCGTGCACAGCTGTGTTACAAGGACCCATGCCTCCTTCCATACCTCCTGCCACCCTTCCAGCCATACCTTCTGCCATACCTCCTGCCACCCCTCCAGCCATACCTTCTGCCATACCTCCTGCAACCCCTCCAGCCATACCTCCTGCCGTACCTCCTGTGATCCCTCTACTGTCATCAGACATAGGAGGCAGAGCAGCAGCGGCAGCATGTATGGCAGCAGCAGCAACAGGAATAGCAGCAGCGGCAACAGACCTAGAACCAGCATCAGCAGGCGTGGCAGCAGGGACAACGGGCATGGGAGAAGCGTCGACAGGGGTAGCAGAGGCGCCACCAGGCCTGGCAGCAGCAGCAGGCAGCAGAGGGGCAGCGACAGACATGGCTCTCTTGCTTGTGCCGCCCAGAAGCGGGTCGTCTGCCCGTCTCCGCCGTCCGGATGCGAACACAGGTGGCTGCAGGCATGGTTGGGGAGATGCACCCGTCTGCAATGCAATCCAGGGGGGTGTACGTGTACTCACATGCAGTGACGCATTCAGCTGGGGAGATGCACCCGCGTGCTCCAAGGATTGCACAGGAGGGGGCAATGGGCATACGCCCTGTCTTTGCAAATCCTCAGAAACACCCAGTCCGGGTGGAATCACTGGCTGCAGAGGCGAATCCCTTGACCACACCTGCTGCTGCCCCTCAGCCTGTACCGTCCTCACCTGCTGCCCCCCTGCCTGTGCTGACTGCACCTGCTGCCTCGCTGCTGCTCTCCTATGCCGCACAACCCCTCCCTCTGCTCCTCCTCCATTCGCCTCTGCTCCACCTTGCCTGCCCCCCATCAGCCCCTCCCCCCAGTTCCCTTGCCAGCCTGCAACACCTTCCCTGTCACACTGCTGCAGGCCCCCTCCCGTGTGCCGCATGCCTTGAAGGGACAAGCCGTTGAGTGGATCCACACAGCTTGAAGTGGGCATGTCGGCATGTGTGCCACATGTACCATGTCTGTTCAACCTGTCAGACGCCGCTTGCTGTTCTGAATGTGTCTCTTGTGCTCCCTGCTGCATTCCCTGCTGCATTCCCTGCTGCGGCTGTGCTGCCTGTTGCTCCTGTGCTCCCTGCGGCTGTTGCACACTCTGCTGTGGCGATCGTTGCTGTCCCTCATGCTGCTGCTGCTCCCTCCCCTGCTGTCTTAAACGCTGCTGCTGTTGTTGCCTCTCCTGCACCTGTCTCATCCTCGTGCCACGGAGTTCTCCTGCCTCTACCTCCCACACCACACCCCCCTGGACGGCCCCCTGCGAGCCCCCCCTACCTTCCCCTGTCCACCCTCCCTCTCCTGTCTCCCCTGACCCTTCAACAACCACTGCCGCTGCCTCTGCAGTCACAGCATGTGTTGCTCCTCCAGGTGCCATCGAATCACCGTGCTCCACTTGCTGCACTGTCTCCTGCCGCTCTGCTGCTGTTCCTGCTGCTGCTCCTGCTGCTCCTCCTGCTGCTGCTGCTCCACCCGCCACCACATGTGCATCTATTGCTGCTGACGTGACTAACACTGCTTCTGCTGCTGCTGCTGCTGCTGCTTCTGCTGCTGCTGCTGCTGCTGCTGCTGCTGGTGCTGCTGAAATTGCTTCGACCGATCCTGGCGATTCTTCTGGCACTGGTGCCACCAACGCTGCTGCTGCTGCTGCTGCTGCTATGGCTACGGCTGCTGGTGAAGGCTGGGCAGGTGGAGTTGCTGCTGCTGCTGCCGCTGCCGCTGCAGGTTGCGCAGGTAGCACCCGGCCAGTTTCACCAGCACCACAGGGGGCGGCTGAGACACCAGCGCACTCAGCATTCCATGCACCAGCGCACGTGGCAAGGGCGTGGCTTGGCAGGGTGTGAGGAGGCAGCAGGGAGCGCCAGAGAGTGTAGTCATGTGCGTGTGGCGAGAGAGGGAAGCCTAACGGTCGCCCTGGCGTGAGGGAGAGCAGAGAGAAGGGGGAAGAAAGGGAGGTTACTTCTCAGGCATCCCACAATACGCAGGTGGGAGGAGGCAGCAGGGAGCGCCAGAGCGTGTAGTCATGCGCGTGGGGCGAGAGAGAAAAGCCCAGCGGTCTCCCTGGCGTGAGGGAGAGAAGAGACCATGAGACGGAGAGAAGGAGACAGAGGGGGGTTTGAGGGGGATAAAAGACCAATAATGTATGTTCACATTGCCTTTCTCCATCCTATGGTTGTGCTACTTGGAGGTGCTATTGCAGAGAGTAAGGAGGATATAGGCCGAGCAAGACAAACAGCTTTGCTACTCAGCAGCTGCATCAAGGCTCCCACGCACCCACCGGTGATCTCCTCCCACCGCGTGCAGGAATGCGGGGGCACAGACACGACGTCAGGGGGGGGGGGGGGGGGGGGGCACGATGCCGCGGATGAAGAGGGGGTTGGCCAGGCCCTTGTAGCGCTGAGATACTTTTGAGGGCCTGGCCCATCCTTTGAGATAACAGCCGGGGATTACCTTCGAGACGTTTCACCCCGTGTGCGACACCTGACAGCGACCAACTCACCAGTGATCTCCTCCCAGCGCGAGCGGGAGTGCGGAGGCACGGCAGAGAGGTCAGGCTCCGGAACGGGCGCGATGCCGTGGATGCAGAGAGGGTTGGCCAGGCCCTTGTAGCGCCGCCGCTGCAGGCGGTGTGAGCGCAGGAAACCGGCCTTCTCGGGGAAGGGGAAGCACGGCTCGTCCACCCTGGTGGTGCATGGTGGGAGGCGAGGTGGGAGGGGAAGGGGCGAAAGGGGGAGGTGAGTGGGATAAGGTGAAAGGCACGATAGAAGCAGTGTGAGCGCAGGAAGCCAGCCCGCTCGGGGAAGGGGAAGCACGGCTCGTCCACCCTGGCGGTGCATGCGGGAGGGGGAGGTGAGAAAGAGAGGCGGGAGGGGGAGGTGAGAAAGAGAGGCGGGAGGGGGAGGTGAGAAAGAGAGGCGGGAGGGGGAGGTGAGAAAGAGAGGCGGGAGGGGGAGGTGAGAAAGAGAGGCGGGAGGGGGAGGTGAGAAAGAGAGGCGGGAGGGGGAGGTGAGAAAGAGAGGCGGGAGGGGGAGGTGAGAAAGAGAGGCGGGAGGGGGAGGTGAGAAAGAGAGGCGGGAGGGGGAGGTGAGAAAGAGGCGGGAGGGGGAGGTGAGAAAGAGAGGCGGGCGGGGGGGTGAGAAAGAGAGGCGGGAGGGGGAGGTGAGAAAGAGAGGCGGGAGGGGGAGGTGAGAAAGAGAGGCGGGAGGGGGAGGTGAGAAAGAGAGGCGGGAGGGGGAGGTGAGAAAGAGAGGCGGGAGGGGGAGGTGAGAAAGAGAGGCGGGAGGGGGGGGGAGGGGGAGGGAGAGGCGGAGAGGCGGGAGGGGGAGGTGAGAAAGAGAAAGAGAGGCGGGAGGGGGAGGTGAGAAAGAGAGGCGGGAGGGGGAGGTGAGAAAGAGAGGCGGGAGGGGGAGGTGAGAAAGAGAGGCGGGAGGGGGAGGTGAGAAAGAGAGGCGGGAGGGGGAGGTGAGAAAGAGAGGCGGGAGGGGGAGGTGAGAAAGAGAGGCGGGGGGGGGGGTGAGAAAGAGAGGCGGGAGGGGGAGGGAGAAAGAGAGGCGGGAGGGGGAGGTGAGAAAGAGAGGCGGGAGGGGGAGGTGAGAAAGAGAGGCGGGAGGGGGAGGTGAGAAAGAGAGGCGGGAGGGGGAGGGAGGTGAGAAAGAGAGGCGGGAGGGGGAGGTGAGAAAGAGAGGCGGGAGGGGGAGGTGAGAAAGAGAGGCGGGAGGGGGAGGTGAGAAAGAGAGGCGGGAGGGGGAGGTGAGAAAGAGAGGCGGGAGGGGGAGGTGAGAAAGAAAGAGAGCGGGAGGGGGAGGTGAGAAAGAGAGGCGGGAGGGGGAGGTGAGAAAGAGAGGCGGGAGGGGGAGGTGAGAAAGAGAGGCGGGAGGGGGAGGTGAGAAAGAGAGGCGGGAGGGGGAGGTGAGAAAGAGAGGCGGGAGGGGGAGGTGAGAAAGAGAGGCGGGAGGGGGAGGTGAGAAAGAGAGGGCGGGAGGGGGAGGTGAGAGAAAGAGAGGCGGGAGGGGGAGGTGAGAAAGAGAGGCGGGAGGGGGAGGTGAGAAAGAGAGGCGGGAGGGGGAGGTGAGAAAGAGAGGCGGGAGGGGGAGGTGAGAAAGAGAGGCGGGAGGGGGAGGTGAGAAAGAGAGGCGGGAGGGGGAGGTGAGAAAGAAAGAGAGGCGGGAGGGGGAGGTGAGAAAGAGAGGCGGGAGGGGGAGGTGAGAAAGAGAGGCGGGAGGGGGAGGTGAGAAAGAGAGGCGGGAGGGGGAGGTGAGAAAGAGAGGCGGGAGGGGGAGGTGAGAAAGAGAGGCGGGAGGGGGAGGTGAGAAAGAGAGGCGGGAGGGGGAGGTGAGAAAGAGAGGCGGGAGGGGGAGGTGAGAAAGAGAGGCGGGAGGGGGAGGTGAGAAAGAGAGGCGGGAGGGGGAGGTGAGAAAGAGAGGCGGGAGGGGGAGGTGAGAAAGAGAGGCGGGAGGGGGAGGTGAGAAAGAGAGGCGGGAGGGGGAGGTGAGAAAGAGAGGCGGGAGGGGGGAGGTGAGAAAGAGAGGCGGGAGGGGGAGGTGAGAAAGAGAGGCGGGAGGGGGAGGTGAGAAAGAGAGGCGGGAGGGGGAGGTGAGAAAGAGAGGCGGGAGGGGGGAGGTGAGAAAGAGAGGCGGGAGGGGGAGGTGAGAAAGAGAGGCGGGAGGGGGAGGTGAGAAAGAGAGGCGGGAGGGGGAGGTGAGAAAGAGAGGCGGGGAGGGGAGGTGAGAAAGAGAGGCGGGAGGGGGAGGTGAGAAAGAGAGGCGGGAGGGGGAGGTGAGAAAGAGAGGCGGGAGGGGGAGGTGAGAAAGAGAGGCGGGAGGGGGAGGTGAGAGGGGGGGAGAGGAGAGAGAAGGGTGCAGCGACAGCAGCCCTTGCTACCCCTGTCTGCCTGAAGTTGCTGCGGATGATTATGTTGACCTGTCATGACATTTCTTGACCTCTCATGACCGCTCATGACCTCTCATGACGTCACAGCTGCACTGGCATGGGTACCTGGAGTTGCCGTTGATGAAGGAGCGCAGCTGCATCTTGCCCAGAGCATGCTCTGGCCGCACACTGAGCGCCCACATGTACGCATTCTCCACGTCATGCTGTACCATAAACGCCTCCTCTCCTCGCTGGTGGTGGAGGTGGGGTGTATAGGCGGTGGAGGGTGAGAAGGATGGAGTGAGGGAGGGAGGCGGTGGGGCGGGCATGCAGGCACATGACGCCTCTCCACAGTCTCCACACGCACACTGAGCTCAGTGTGGCCGCACATTGAGCGCCCACATGTACGCATTCTCCACATCGTGCTGTACCATAAACGCTTCCTCGTCGCGCTGGTTCAGGGGGTTGGAGGGGGAAGGAAGAAGGGAGGGGAGGATGAAGGTTGAACAGGCATGAGAGAGTGGAGTAAGGTGCATGGGGAGCAATGGGCGAGGGTGGGCGCACCAAGTGGGTTAGAGTGAGCGCACCGATTGGCCGAGGGTGGAGGCATAGTAGTGGGAGAAGAAGAAGTGGGCGCCCCACACACGGTCCTCCCGTGCAGTGTATCGCCTGGGAATGTCACTGCTGCTGCGACCGAGGGTGGTGTTACCACTAGGAGCGGCGGCTGTACCAGCAGGAGCGGCACCCAGCATGCTCCCGTTGCCACTAGCGCAGCCACTGGGGCCAATTGCAGTGCGACATGTATCCGCGCCCCTTGCTGCCTCTGCTGCGGATGCGCACTCGTTCCTGTCACCGTCTGCTTCTGTACCTAGCTCCAGTGTTGCTGCCCTCCCTGCTTCTTGCCATGCGCTGCTGCTCGAGTTCCCTATGGCTTCAACGCCTGTCACTGCCCTTCCTGCTGCCGCTGCTGCTGCTGGCCTCACGTCTGTTGCTGCAGTCATTGCTGCCACTGTTTCTTCTGTTGCTGGTGTTGTTGTTTCTGTTGCTGTTTCTGCTGCTGGTGTGAGTGTTGTTGCTGCCGTCGTTGCCGCTTCCGACGGTGCTGCTGCTGCAACTGCCACTGCTTCAGCTGTTGGAGCAGCTGCTGCCGCTGAGGCATATTCACCTGTTGTTGGCGGGGATGGGCACGAAGCAAGGCAGGTGATGGGGCGAGGTGGGTGGATGGAGGCAGAGAGAGGTGACGGTGCAAGGCGTGCTGCAGTTGGCTGCTGCCTGTAAACAACAGTTGCGGACAGAGCGTGCTGCGGCTGCTGTAACCATTGCTGCTGCTGGCTGGGCAACAGGTGACCCTGCTGCTGCTGCCGCTGCTGCGGGCTGCCCCCACTTGGAAGCACCACGTGGCACGTGCTGGTGGCGTGAGTGCACGCGGAATTGCTCCCACCCACGCCCTCCGCAGCCCCTGTGCCCGACCCACTCTCCCTAGGATGATTGCCAGATTCGGAGGGTACAGTGGGTCTGGACAGACTACGCCCTCTGGTGTCTGCTGTCAGTGCGGCAGGAGCAGCAGGAGCAGCCGTGGTGGATGGTGGGTGGCTGTCAAGGCTGAAAATCAGCCTCGGTGCAAACCGGGTTGCCGGGGCGCCAACCGGAGCTATCTCAATGTCTAAATTCGGTGACGGACCGACATCCCACCAGAGAGCCATTCCGCCAATATCTCCCCCCCCATCCCCGCCAGTATCCCCGCCAGCATCAGCGCCTGCTTCCTGCCCGTCCGCCCTGTCTGATATTCCCTGTTCCGCCTGCTGCTCCCGTCCGTTCTCCCTGTCCGCCCCCCCTGCGCCCTCCGCGGAACCACCCTCCGCGCCCTGCTGGAAAGTTCTGAGGACACCTGCGCAGGCTGCCCCTAGCTCGCCGTTTCCGCCAAACTCGCCCGCCCTACCGTGCTCTCCCAATCCGCGCTGCTCCCCCTCCGCGCTACCCCCGCTTCCATTCCCCTCCGCGTCACTCCCATCGCCCCGTCCAACCCCATCAATGCCGCGCCTCCCACGAATCGCACCATCCAGTCCAGACGCAGCAGCCGCAGGAGTGCCCGCAGTAGCAGCTGCGTCAGCAGCAGGAGGAGCATTCGCAGCCGCCGCTGCAGCCGCGTCAGCACCGTCAGAGGGATGAGCGGGACGCGCGGCATTATCTGGATGCGCGGCATTGGTGGGTTGCGGGGCATGAGCGGGGTGGTGCGCGGGAGAGGCGGCGTCGAGATCGAGGTCGAGGCACATGGACATGGACATGGGGATGGGGAGTGAAAGCGGCAGGTTGATGTCGGGCGGATGCAGGTCGTACGGCAGCCGGATCATGCGCGTCGCAGCGTCGCACGGCGCGTCGCACGGAGCGTCGCACGGCGCGTCGCACGGCGCGTCGCACGGAGCGTCGCACGGCGCGTCGCACGGCGCGTCGCACGGGGCGTCGAAGTTCATGTCGGGGGTTTGGAGGTCGAACGCGCTTCTAGACGGAGGGCCGGACGAGTTCTCGCCGTAATTATCAGTATTCTCATTGTTGCTGTTGCTGCTGTTATTGTTCTCTGTTACTGGCGGTTCTAACGGAATCCGTCCACATTGACGTGCGCTGGAAACGGGAAACTCGTGCTGGTTTTCGGACAGAAACGGCGCGGCGTTGTGGGACTGGAAAGACGAGGCGGACTGCACGTTAAACGCGAGGGAGTAGGGATTTCCGGCGACGAACGGAGCTGCGTTCGGGGTCTGAAGCGTGGGGCAAGCTTGAAGGTTAGGGAAAGCTTGAAGAGTAGGGCACGGCTGGAGGGTGGGGTAGGAGTGGCGGATATCGAAGGAGAGGCCGCCGGGGAGGTTCTGCGAGCACGCGTCGAAATTCATGTCCAGGATCTGCAGGTCGAACGCGTTCCGAACTGAGTCCTGGTCCTGACATGCTCCCTCTCGCCCCTGCCCGTGGCTCTGAGCCTGCTGGCCCTGTGCATCGCCCTCATCCTGCTGCTCCAACTCCCACTCGAGATGCATGGCGCGCGGGGGGGAAACAAGACTAGCGCATTAACGGCTGAGCTGGGTGGGAAGACGAGCAACGGTCGGAAAGGAGCGCAGAATGGAAGGGGAGCGTGTAGATGGAAGTGCGAGATTCGACGAGGAGAAAGAGACGTTGTGTTGTGATTGCGAGCAAAAGCTCCTTCAAGAGCGACAGAACTCTCGCCTACGTGTAGTGTGATGTGAAGGATGTGAAGCTTGAAATGGAGCTCCACGAAAACGTTTGCCCGATAAGGTAGAATGTTGTAAGCGTATGTTACAAAGTAAACAAAGCGAATATAGATGTATATGTATAACAGCTCCTCAGGTCCTTAGGATGTCCATTGGAGTCATACCTGCCAGCATACAGCTGTACGTTAAACACAGATTATAGCATACACACGAGCAAAACCATAGAAACACCTCCTGAAGGAGCCAAAGCCCTTGAAAGCCCGGAACTTTATGGCAAGGCAGTCTGCACTGCATGTTGCGGAGTTGCATGTTTGCATGTTAGGAGCCTCTAAATGTCTTGCTTACGCAGCTGGGAACCTGCCAGATGCTTGGAGCACCTCACACGTCACCTGTGGTCAAACAAAATCAGGTATGCACAGAAATGTACACATCCTGTCCATTCCCCAAAAAACACCACTGCACCCCATTTCCCCAGGCACAGCCCCTTTCCCCCCACTCCCTGTCCCCACACCCCAACCTCCTGGTCACCCTTTGTAGGCGCAATCTTCCCCATCCCACTGCAACCCAACCCCCCCAACCCACCCCACCCCACCCCACCACCACCTATGCATGCTTTTTTGGTCCTGTAGCTGTGCCTGTCCGCTTTCCCTTGCCCAAGTGTGCAGACAGACACTCAGCTGGAAGCACCCTGAGGTTGTAGAATGCAGCGTCTGCTGCCTGGCATATGTAAGGGCGGGCAGGCAGAGGCAGATGAAGGGGGGTGTAGGGAAGACAGGTGTAGGGAGGAGAGAAATCAGTGCAGAACGGTTTGGACACTAGTGCAGGTGCAAAAGCGGTGAAAGATAACAGGAAGATAGTGCAGGGATCAAACTCGGCAGCACGTTGTGGAGTCAGCTCCCTGCACCCTCTGCACATAGGCACGTGTTAGACTCACCTTCTGTACAGTTTGGTCTGCGAAGCGCAGACGGCACCCTCCTTCTGAACCCTTCTCTGCAGCACTCTCCGCAGGGCTGCTGGCTCGCATGCTGCCAGCAACCACGCCCATGCCGCTGCCAGCACCCGTATCCTGCACGCCTGCTTCATTCCCTGGAAGGGACCCGCCAGTGACTGCTGCACTGTGAGCCGCCTGAGAGGGAGTGGGTGCAGGAGGAGGAGCAGCCTCAGCTGCTGTTTCCTCCCTCTCATCACACAAGCCCTTATCCGCCTCCCTGCCAGCTGACCTCTCCACATTCTCCCTGCCCTCTGGGATCTTTTCCCCGCCCTCTGATGCTCCCTCGGCCCCCTTTGCTGCCTTCTCTCCGCCCTCTGGTGCACCCTCAGCGTCTGCCATGGTGGCATCTCCCTTGCCTGCCGCACCCACTTCTGCCGCCTCTCCTCCTGCACCACCATCCTTATCCCCCTCTCCACTGCTCGCCGAGCTTCCCTTCTGTGCAAGGGTTGCCTTGTGCCGAGCCACCATCATGGCCACGATCCAGTCAAACACCTGCACGTGGAAGAAGAAACAGAGTTACGCATCAGAAAGCACACACACACATTAGCACGGACCACACGACGACAAGGCAAGTACCTTTCCCCATGCCATGCAATGTCTGAATGGAGCACACAAGATCAACCGGGAAACATGAGAGAGCATTCAGCCTGACTGACCTGAGCAAGGCGGTAGCGGGGGTGCTCCAGGGCGTTGTGAGGGCCATAGCGCCCTGTGCCCTGGCACTCCGGGCAGAACACCTCAGTCAGCGGCAGCAGCTTCGCTCCCTCCAGCGCCTCTGCATCCTCAGGCGCAGCTGCCGCTGCTGGCACTGCTGCTCCTCCTGCTCCTACTGGCACCGCTGCCTCTAATGCTGCTCCTTTGCCTGGTCCGTCCTTGTTGGTGGCTCCAGCTGCTCCAGATGCTGCTGCAGGTGTTGCTGCAGGCGAGCTGCTCTTGCCCTTGCCTGGCTGCTGTGCCGCAGTGTCAGGTGAGCTGCGCTTGCCCAGAAGATGTGACAAAGCAGGTGCAGAGGCAGGGGCAGAGGGAGCAGGAGGTGGGGCCATGAGAGACGCTGCAGCCGACGCAGCAGCTGTTGCCACGATAGCCACCACTGCTGCATCTTCGCTGGACACTGGCCCTGCGAAAATCAAGAACGCGCATGTCAGTCAGTGCGCTGCTGCTTAGTCATATGTAACAGCATAACAGTAACCGCTGAATCAAAGAAGGCTGAAAATTAACAGAAGGGAAACGGGCACCTGTGGCAGCAGCAGCAGCCAGGGCAGAGGTTGCAACAGCAGCAGCGGTGGCAGAGGAGTGAATTGCGTCTGGGATACCAGCCCACGCCCACGCGTCAGAATGAAGCTCGTCACTGCTAGCACTGCTGCCATCAGCATCCGCACCCTGCCCCACAGGATCGACCCCATTGGGCTGAGGAACGGCTCCTTGGTGGTTCTTCCCAATCGCCTCAGCAGCAGCACTGGCAGACACAGGAGCGTCACCGCCAGCCTCAGCAGCAGTAGCAGCACCAGCTGCCGCAGCCGCAGCCACAGCCTTTGTGACTCCGCCAGCAGCAGTGGCAGCAATCCGCAGGCGTGGCGGCGCCACTGGTGCGACCATTCGGCCCCAAGGACGGTGTGTGTGGCTTGTGGTGACGGTGCATGGAGGAGAGGAGGTGTGCCACGTCTGCCTCGAGCGGGCAGCAGAGGGCGGGCGGCACACTGGTGCTGGCGACAGCAGAGCAGAAGACCACCCAGTCCGCTATGCAGTGCGAATGGAATATGTGGAACTTCTGCTCGCAAAAACGCGGGTGCGGACATAAATAAGTGGCAGGGGAAGATGAAAATTTGAAACAAGCAATGGGAAAGGGGAAGTGGGGAGCCGAATGCGAAGCGGAAGCAGAAGTGGGCGCAGAAATGAAAATCACCTTGTGTCGATTTCTGCTGCTGCAGGCGAACTGTTTCAAGCGTGTGTTCCACAGAGCGCCAACCACCTGCCCTTCCATCATGGGCAGCTGGCACAGAAAGCACACTCTCGCTGCCGCTGCTCCTGCACCCGCTCCCAGGGCTCCTTTCCGTCTCTTCGCTGGCACTGCACCTGGTGCTTTCCCATCTCCAGAAGAATCGACCCCTGCAGCTGCTTCTGGCACTGCAGCTCCAGGTATGCTGTCAGCTGGTTCGCCTTCAGCTCTACCAGAGGCATCCTCGTGCAGCCCAGGCACGGCAGCAGAGTCGTCACTAGGGCGAGCTCCACCCGCTACTTCCACATCTGCATTGACTTCAGCTGGCTTGTCTGTGCAATGTAGCTCAGCAGACGTGGCGTTCGGTTCCTTATCCTTGACAGCTTCATCACCATCTCGGGAAACTTCCTTGTCATTGGCGTTTTGCAATTGCTTCTTAAGCTCCTCTGGATGCTCAGCGGGGACATCTGCCAGCAGCGGTAGCTCCTCCTTCTGAACGTGCTTAACACCAGGACCAGCATCCGACCATTTCAACAGCTGCTTCTCCCACTTCCCTCGGCGACCAATCAGATTTGTGAATCTGAACAACGCAAGGGCGAAGTCCCCAGGTCGGCTTGGTTCATCCGATTCTTCTTCTCGTGTTTCTGGAACAATGTCGCCTGCATTCGCCTCAGCGCCAGGTGTAACTGTAACATCTTGACCGTTGGCTTTTCTTTGCCGCTTAGAACCACCACCAGCAGACTTCGAGGTATCAGTGGAATGAGGTGCTTTACGCTTGGAGGAAGGAGACACGGCGGAGGTTTTCCCTGCAGTAGCAGAGACGGGCAAAATTCAAGGTGCGAGCAGGTTCAACCGGCAGAAAAATATGCAAGTTGTACATGAAGCCGTTGCTCACGGGTTGAGCGGAAGGCTCACCTTCCCCAACGAGCTTCCACGGCGGCGTCAACTTGGACGTTTTCTCCCAAGGTGGACTCCCGGTGACGCTGGACGGTGGTGAGGTGAGCGGCGTGGCTTCCGCCTGTTTCCGCTTGTGCTTCTTCCCATGTAAATGGTCCACCAGGCTCGCGTCATGGTAAGCCCATACGCTGCATTCAACACCAGACATTTGAACTCAATTTCACGCATAGACACGACTCTCCAACAACCAGAGCGGTACAGGGGAGGGAAGATTGCGACCGGAAAGGAAGAAAGCACGGCGCGGCTTACTCGCAGAGAGTGCAGTAGAAAATGATGCGTTTATCGTCCTCTACCACCAGCACTCCTTCTCCCTTGTACAAGCTCTGAAGATGCGATGCCAGCGCTGAAGCCAAATTCTTATTCTCAGCAGGTTTCTGAGTGGCCGTTTGCGGAACCGTAGCTTTTGGTTTCTTCTTGCCATCCTGCTTCTCGGCTTGCTTGGCTCCTCCAGTCGTCTTCCTGCTACCTTTCATCCTACGGTCAGACAGCGTGCCTCGCAAAATGCCTTTCAATCCTGACCGAGGTGTCGACTGCTTGGAGGCTTGGCCTTCCGCACCTCGTGCGGAAAACATGGCGAGTGTTGATTTCCGAACCATGTGTGCACCTTCGTCAACGATTGGTCTGCAGAAAAGACACTAGACATCAAAGCTGACTCAACTATGTGATAAGAACCGTTGCTGCTTTGCCACCAGCCTCCAGCTATAACCTACTAGACTCTGAACGGTGCACTACGGCGGATATTCGACGGACAAAAGCGAAAGATTCTTGTGTGAAGAGGGCCAGGAGAAGATGTGTTCCAGAAGCGAAGTTGATTCTGTGAGGGCACAGTGCAGTTGGGCTGGGAGGCTAGCTGTCAGGGAACCACGCTGAAACCCTTGTTCTGCCTTGACCCAACTGCTGTGAGTGAGGTCAAACACAGCTGTGTGTGTGTGGGGGTGACCCCTCCCCTTCCCTCTCGCACCTTGCATTGCATTCAACCATGCCCGTTTTTCATGACGATCCCAAGGCCAACCTGACCAACCAAACCGTCACGCCCGGCCCTGGCAATTGCGGGGGAATGAAAGGAATCGTAGCTGGGCGATGATGCCTTTGCGACAGTTACCACCATCGGAATCTATGCCAATTTGGCTTGCGAAAACCCAAACCGAACCAGGTCAAGGGGCATTCGCCACGTAGGCGGAGGACCACAGCGGATGACGTGGGGTGCGAGGTGGCGCGCCCAGCGATTGGGTCTTTTTCACCCAGAGTGGATGGATGGATTTCGCGAATTCAAAATGGACCTCCTCCCGTGAGCACCCCCTTGCCCTAAGACTGATAGGCTAGTTGGATCGCGAAATGTTCTCAAAGACACTGATTTCGTCGTCCAATCGCAAGGCCACTTTCCCGCTAGGATTCTTACAACCACCAGATTCCTCCACACCCATTCGGCACTAAAATCTGCTTGCGCGTAACAACACGTTTATCGATTTCAGCAGTACCGAGTTATGCAACTCCTCGTCCTGGTGACGCTTCCTCCTGACTTGACGTGCCATCCTCGATCAACTTGGTTTCTTCGCAGGCATTCAATTCCTTCAAAATCAGGGAGGAAATCCGCGGAACCCATGAACGAAAATGGAGCCCTTCACATTGGTTGCGCTCCAGAGTCCACCAGGCCCGATATTGATAGAGTGACAAAATGATGGCTATTGAGAATTCAGGGGTATCTGCTGGAAACTTCACTCCCGGACTTCCTCCATTTAGCTTTCCGCGTACAACCCTTGTGTCCTGTCCACCACCCTAGCCGAATGCTCAGCGAGCTTGAAGCCGCCCTGATAAGGGCCGGTGCCCCACCGGAGGAGCAAGAATGGGAGGGAGTGCGCAATGTGGAGCCTGGCGCGGTTGAAAGCGGAGGGGACGAAGGCAGGGGTGAGGGGGAGGCAAGTGCTTCAGAGGGGGGAGGCACTGCGGCAGAGTTTCCTGTGCTCCTGGGTGTGCCAGTGGCAGTGAAGGTGTGACTCGTTTTGCGATCATCAAACGGCCAACTTTTTCTCTTTTTCACAGATCCCTTCACCGAATCCACATAACCGCCGAATCCACTTGTCCGTCGAATCCAGGCACCAAATGCAGGCAGCAGGCACCAATTCCACTTCACACATCCGCCGTTGAAACGGGTTATTGTGCACACAATTTTTGAGTCGACTCAAAAATCGACTTATCACACATCCGCCGTTGAAAGGGGTTATTGTGCACACAATGTAAAAGTGATTGCAGGGACAGCATGTGTTACTGTGCGCCCTGGAATGTCCCCAAGTGAACCTCCCCATGCGTGCGTGGCAGCAGGATCTGATCCACGTGGACGGCTTCTCCACCAGGGCAGGCGCGCTGCCAGGCTTCCCTGCACTGGACTCTGCGTTGCAAATGAGGGAGGGCAAGGTGCGTGTGGGAGGAAGGTGAGGGAGGGCAAGGTGCGTGTGGGAGGAAGGTGAGGGAGGGGAGGCGAGTCTCTGAAAGGCAAAGGCTGCATGCGAGTGGCATTCGCCTATCGTACCACCTGGGTGGGTGGATGGATGCATGCGACGGCCCCTGTCAGTTGTTGTTGTGTTGCAGTATTCCACACGGACTTATTGCCTGTACTGTTGTTGCAACAAGTCTGTGTGGAACAGGATTATGGCGTTTCTCGCCATCTTCCTTTCTGGCGCGGGGCTTTCCATTCTGTCTGCTCTTGATCTGCAGATTATCCAACGGCTGAGGTCTTCTGGTGCACTCATCCTGGTCAGTCCATTCACATCGCACCCAACCGCATGATACTCTGACGTTTTCACGTCCCCTACCTATGTCTCCTCCTTGCATGGTACAGGTTCGCTCACGTGTAGGATCTCACCGGTCTTGCAGTATGTATTGGCCTTTTCAATGCTTTTCAGCTGTGCGTAGCTTACCCTCAGTCCCCTCTCCTCAGCATGCGTTCATTCCCAATATGATGTTGAACCTGTACCAGCAGAACACATGTATGCATGCTCTGCTGCTCTCCTATCACCATCCTTTGTCGTCCTTGGTCCAGGGCAAGGCAGCCATGACAGAATTCGCCTACCGCCACCCGTCTCGCACACGCAACCCTCTCGCTCCAGTTGAGTCACCGCCTGCCCATTAGCGCCATCACGACCACCACACTTTCTTCCAGCCCCACTCGCCCGGTGTGCCTACTCTTGTCCGCACTGTCTCCTGTCCGCTCTGCCTCATCTTCTGCTGCTCTGCCTCACCTTCTCCCGCTCTCATCACCTTCACCCGCTCATCATCCCCCCCATCTGCTCCATCGCAGTCCTTCACGCCTGGAGGGTCCAGCAGCGGGTCAGCAGCAGCTGTCGCAGCAGGCATCTGTCCGCTCGCCCTCGGTTAGTCTCCCGCCCCCTTCCCCTTGTTCTCTCCTCTCCTTCACCTCCTCGCCTCTCCTTCTCCTCTTCCACACCCACCTCTCATCCCGAATGACACCTCTTGTTCCCGCTCTCCCTCTCCTCTGCTGCTGTCTCCCCTCCCTTGACACCCCCCCTCCCCACGCTGCAGCATCACAGACGTGTGCGTCCATCTCCCGCCCTGCAGCCTTCACAGCCACGGTGGGCTTTAAGCCCTCCCACCACCGCCTCCCTGCCTCTGGCTGCGTTTCGGTCAGCACCTTGACCGTTTCCTCCTCTCGTCCCTCCTTTTCTGTCACATTCACTCTTTGGCGAAGCAGTGCTGCCCCACTTGGAAAAGCATTTTTTTGTCTCCCCATGACGTCATGCCCCCCATGCAGCCATCGCCCTCCCTGGACCAGTTTGGAGTCATATCACTCTCAGTGCGCTGGGCTGCACTCTTTGGCCAAGCCGTGCTGCCCCACTGGCGGCCCCCACCCCCCCGTGCAGCTGTGCAGTCCCCGAGGGGCCGCTGTTTGGCAGTCCCCGAGGGGCCGCTGCTGGAGCAGTGTGAGGGGGGAGCAGCGTGGGAGGGGTTTCAGCAGCTGCTGGCGCAGATGAGGGCGAGCAGGTGGGCGGGGGTGTGAGGGATACAGATGGTCGATACCATACCATCATCCCTATCATTTCCTTCATATCCTGTCACTCGCTTATGCATCCATCCGTGCTTCCACTCCTCGACTCATCCCCAACTTCTCCCTGCAACGTTTCCCCATTTGCGTCCCTGCCTGGCAGTGCATGGAAGGTGGTGTCGCTGCCATGCCTGGATGACTTGCAGAAGATTAAAGAGTAGGTTCCAGCCATGCCATGCCATTCAGTAATGATGCACATGCTATGTGATGTCGGGCAATATTCCTCCATAAATATCCGTTCCATCATGATTCAGCCTGCTACACGCCTCTCTATGCCACTCGGATGGGAAATGCGCATTTCCTCCCTCACCACCGCAGGTCCCACCTGGCTCTCATGGCGTTTGAATATGCCCGCTTCCTGGATTCTCTCAAACTGCCTGACCTGCCATCTCTATGACAAAATAGTAGCTAAGACTAAGAAGCCATAGCTAGGTTTAGGGTACACGAAAGAGAAGTACAAGCAGTAGAAGAGGAAAGGTGGTTGAACTAGAAAGAAGCGGAGTACAAATAGCAAGCCCAAAAGGGTTATACTCACTATTGAGTACCCCACTACAGACTAGACAAGCATTATGTTCTGACACACCCCCATAGTCAAGGTGGGGTACAGCCAGCACAACAAGCATTCAGAGCTGTAGGTCATAGTGATAAGCAAAGGCTAGAGACTAACACAGAGGGCAAGTGAGGAGGAGGAGAAACTGTGGGGGGCGATCTGCTGCAGGCGATGGGCGAAGCTGCAGACACAACGGGCAACAGGAGCGGCGCGCACAGTGGCTACCGAGCGCACGAGGGCACCGGACTACGGGAGTATCTGGCTCCGCGGCTACGACGAGCACACACAGGAGCAACTGACCCACAGGCGACTGGCGAAGCAGGCTCGCTGGGCTACCGAGAGCACGACGGCTCCGGACTACAGGCGCTGCAGACGACACGACAGCGACCTCCACTCTCCCCCCCCTAACAGTCCCACACCCCCCTATCACACACCCCTTTGCTGCATCCCTAGCCCCACTCACACGCCACCCCCACTTAAACCCTAACCCTCGGCTCCCACACATCCACCCCCCTCAGCGGCAGCTGCAGCAGTGGGAGACGAAGGAGGAGGAGGAGCAGGGGACGGAGCACACAACCAGCACCCCCATACGCGCCACCCCCACACGCGCCACCCCCAAACCCTAACAAAGGCAGCAGGGGGGGGGAGTGGGGGGGCGATCCGTAAGCGATTCGGGGGACGGCGGGCGGCTCCCCAGGGCGCCACGACGGGGCAGCGGGAGGGGGGCGAGCGCGGCTCCCAGGGCGCCTCGACGGGGCAGCGGGGGTCGCGCGCGCGGCTCCCCAGGGCGCCGCGACGGGGCAGCGGGGGGTCGCGCGCGGCTCCCCAGGGCGCCGCGACGCGGCTGCGGGGTCGCGCGCGGCTCCCCAGGGCGCCGCGACATGTCTGCGGGGTCGCGCGCGGCTCCCCAGGGCGCCGCGACGTGGCTGCGGGGTCGCGCGCGGCTCTGCTGCAGGCGACGGGGGGGTGGGGGGGGCGCTTCGACGGAGCAGCGAACCGCCACGCGACCCGAACGTGCGGCGGGAAGAAAAATAAGGCGTCGCGCGCCACGGGGCGCGCGACAGACAGGAAAGCAGCGGAAGCACGTGGGGCCCACAGGCCAAGAGCGTAACCGCTCTGATTCCATGACAAAATAGTAGCTAAGACTAAGAAGCCATAGCTAGGTTTAGGGTACACGAAAGAGAAGTACAAGCAGTAGAAGAAGAAAGGAGGTTGAACTAGAAAGAAGCGGAGTACAAATAGCAAGCCCAAAAGGGTTATACTCACTATTGAGTACCCCACTACAGACTAGACAAGCATTATGTTCTGACACTCTAGTCTCCCCTCCTGTAAGCAGAGCGCACACCGCACACGACACACCACCCAGCACAGCTGCCGCTGATGCCTGCTGCTGTCACCCCATACAGGCCATGCCTATATGCGCCTGGCAGAATCTCCTGAGCTACAGTCACAGGTGGAGCATGTATGCTGTTCGAGCACCCTTGCAAGCTGAGACCCACTAGACAAGAATCAGAGTTTCCCATATCAATCACTCAGTACAATGCTCCCCCTCCCCCCTGGCCACACCCACCCCACTCCCACTATTTTGGACACATCTCAATGCACCATTCACGAAGCCTATGTTCACGTACTAGGTAGCTCATAATCGCCCATTCAGTCCATTCATAGCCTATGCGATGGCCTATGTCCTCCCTCCCCAGCCAGCTCATGGAGCTAATCACGACTGGGCGAGGGGTGACAGAGGAGGAGGCAGCAGCGGGCAGGGCGTCGTGTGTGGCACTGCGGCACTCGCTGCAGCAGCAGCTGAGTCAGGCCTGTAAGAGGTCCACTGGGGATCCCCGATGATCCTAGGGAAGGGTTACAGGCACGTCGGCCTGGGGGGTTATGGGCGCACTCACCCGCTATATAAACAAGCCCTTTTATCCCAGTGGTTAGTGGCTGGGATTCTGACATGGTATCAGAGCAAAGGTCTCGGGTTCGATTCCCGGTGTGTGCACTTCGGGCATCCCAGTGCGGGGGGGTGTCAGAGGTCCACTGGGGATCCCCGATGATCCTAGGGAAGGGTTACAGGCACGTCGGCCTGGGGGGTTATGGGCGCACTCACCCGCTATATAAACAAGCCCTTTTATCCCAGTGGTTAGTGGCTGGGATTCTGACAAGGCCGGTGCTGAGGCCTTCATCGCTCCTGCTGCCACAGGCTTCCCTCTTCCCACGCATCAAGGTGAGGGGAAAAAGGGAAATCTATCAAAGTCATATCTTTATTTTTGCTCTCGTCTCTGCAGTGCTTGCTACCTCTCCTGCCAGTGTGGCGTGTGGTTGTGGCTGCCGTAAGAGCCTAGAGGTTGATGTTGCCCCTCTCGTCCCATGCGCCCGCACTCGACTCCCCACCAGGCATGACAGGAGACCCCATCATGTCCATCCCCTGGAGCCATGCTGGCCTGCCCACTGTCACCATGCCAGTCGTGCTCACACCTGCTGCTGGTGGTTCATCTGGGAGTGCTGCTGCTCACAGGACACACGAGGGTGGTACCGCTAATGAGAGCAACAGGGAACCTATCAAGGAGTGTCTGCCAGTGGGAGTCACGCTGGTTGGGATGTGGAACGAGGATGAAAGACTGTTGGACGTTGCATTGGAGCTGGAACGCTTTCTTGATTTTACTTCACCATTGTGAACCAATATAGATAATCCAGGAATGTTACAAAACCATACATGACTTTTTATTTCCTTGCTCATACAACTGCAGGGCTGCTTCCTCAACTACCATTATCTTTGCGCCAGTCAATAACATAGATTGCCTCCCCATGCAGGTCAGGCCTACCATCCCACGGAAGCGCGCCAGGCTTCCACACACCCGCCTGTCAGGTGCGTGTATTCCACCCCCTCATACTTTACCTCAATCGCTGGGACCTTCTCTCCTTCTTGACCCACTAAGCCATTGGAGTTGGCGATGGGGGGAGAAGAGGGAAGGGGAGTAGTGCAATCCGCATCAGCGCCAGCAGCAGGGACAGCAGTGATGGCAGAAGCAGAACAAAGGTGATGCATTGCAGTGTGCAGGTGGTACCACGTACCACACCCCTTCCTCCTCTTTCCTCCTCCCTCAAGCTGTTGACGGCCTCCAGGTTGGTGCCACACCATGCCATGCCACACCATGCCATGCCACACCATGCCATGCCACACCATGCCATGCCATACCACACCACGGCATGCCATACCACACCATGGCATGCCATACCACACCATGGCATGCCATACCACACCATGGCATGCCATACCACACCATGGCATGCCATACCACACCATGGCATGCCATACCACACCATGGCATGCCATACCACACCATGGCATGCCATACCACACCATGGCATGCCATACCACACCATGGCATGCCATACCACACCATGGCATGCCACACCATTTGTCAACATGTTTAATGGGCTTTCACCCATCCAATCTTCAATCACTCACCTCAGATGTAATCCCTTTCACTCACCTCAGATGCAATCCCTTACACTCACCTCAGATGTAATCCCTTTCAGTCACCTTACAGGAAGATGGGGGGGGAGCGGAAAGGGGAGAGCGGAAAGGGGGGGGGGGGAAAGGGAAAAAATGGGCGCTTTTTCCTTTCGCCAGTCCTCTCCGTCCATTTCCCCTCTTCTCCCCTCCGCTCCGCCCACCTTCGTCTTTCTTCTCCCCTCCGCTCACCACCCCTCCGCTCCCGTCCCCCCTTTTTCCCGTCTTTGCGTCCAGGCTGGGACCGTCGATGCGCACGAAGTCCTGGAAGATGAGGGGAGCGCGGAAAGGGGAGGGGAGCAGCGGAAAGAGAAGGAGAAAAGCTTAAAGGGTAGGGGAACAGCGGAAAGAGGAGGAGAAAAGCGGAAGGGGGGGGGAGAAAAGGGGAAATAGGCGCTTCCCCCTCTCTCCAGTCCTCTCCGTCTATCTCCCCTTATTCTGCCCTCCGCTCACCTCCACTCACCTCCCGTCCTCCTTTTCCGCGTCTCGCGAACAGAATACAGTCGACGATCTGAAGTCACGAGGGGGAAAGCGTAAAGGGGAAGGGGAAGGGCAAATTACCGTCACCTCCTTTTCCGCGCCTTGCGTCCAACATACCGTCGACGCTGTGAAGTTGACGAAACGCGCTGTCTAACCGACGAAGCGCGAGTCGCTACTGATGCGTCAGAAATTGACGCTACTAATTCGTCCGCCGCGAATGTTACTAATCCGCCCGCTACTACCATGTGGATAGAAGTCAGATCTGGAGCGCGCAACTTAGACTGTCTTACCGAGACTGCGATATCTATTCAAACCCGATACTGCTAGCATGCCAATAGAAGCGTAAAGCGATTAAAAATAAGCACGACCGAGAGCGTGAGCTACATGAGATCGCTGTCATGGAAAGCTGTACTTAGATGGACTACAGCGTAGAGATCTGTCTTCACAAAGAATAACTATCGAAACTAACGAGATGCGTGGCGAAAGTACTGCTAAATGCAACTTAGTGTGCGCTAATGGAAGTCACTCACATCTGGGAAATGGCGGGTGAAGTATTGGTGGCAGGTTCGGAGTTCCAGGTCCGGTGGTTGTGCCAGAGTGTCAAAAACACCTTCATTTCATTGGTTCGCGTAATTGTTTTCTCATCCATACATTGTTATTCCAGCTGCCCGAGCAGGTTCAGGAGGATTAGAGTGAACCAGCTGACCTCAACCAAAGCCGTCCCGCACCTCACGCTAAACCCACGCGGCTAAAAAAAACTTACGGCCCAAACCAACTGAAGATAGCGCCACGTCAACCACCTCCTAGAAAGCTGGAGCCTACCCTTGCTATTCCAGCAGCATGCTCAACAAACCTCCGTAACCACCAACCCTCGCCTTTGGCAAACGCGTTTGCATACGAACAACTCAAACCGATTTGTGTAACCCGAATGTGCAAAATGAATGTGCTGTACTACTTGGGTTGAGCTGGATGGACAAGGCGGGGGCACAATTTCAGCCGCCTCAAACTGTTCTTCACGCGCGGCTCGACGAATGACCCCTGATCCCCTGCCACAATCACATAATTGGTCCATCATACAATCCACCACACCTTCCCACCGTTGCGGTCTACTGCACAACCACTATCCATCCATTCACATCACACTGCACTTTTTCGCACCGCGCACATAGCCTGGTGTCAGGATTCAGGAATTCCCTCCCACACGGCGGCAGCACAGCATGGTGTCTCAAAGCCGCATTTGGTTTGAATTCCCCCCCACACGCCGTCAGAGCCGCCATTCAGAATGGCGGATTTGTATTCACCAATCAGCAGCAAGCTTATCCTTTTGTTTCAGCAGCTACCTTTTGCTTGCATCTCCTTCGAGCATCTCATCCGCTCCATGTTATCTAGCGATGTTGAGTTTGTGTAGTTCTTTTTCTTGAAGCTCCAATCCCAATGAGCTCATCCGGATAGTACACGGGGAAGCCAAGGCATGAGGCGGCGTTGAGTTAGAGAGTCGGGTGTGGGGTGGGTGGGTAGATGTCGTGAGGAGTGAGCTGCTAATTGCCTTGGCTGAACTGTGTACTATACCGAGATTTCCGCGGCAACCTTTTAACCGCGAAATCTGTACCGCCATATCTACGTGGCACGAGCATATCTGCAAGGTCTTCATTACACGATCTTCACGCTATGCGGCGAATTTTTCGCAACGAGGTCTACTTCGAGAGCTTCAAAGTGAAGCACGGCGCCTCCTCTGCTGATTCAAAATGCTGCTGGTGCGGCCTCTCCCGTCGTTGCGGCGATTCTAGTCTTCACCAACACAACGACGGGCCACCTGAATAGAAGACCGTCGTGTGACCTGAAGCAGATTGCTCTCAAGCTTCTACAAGCGGGACGCACTCAAGCCCAACCCGAAGATTGCCGATTGGCGATCACTCACCGTCTCCGCGAAAGGCGCTTCTTGTTGAAGTAAGTCATGCCGGATCATTGTCGCTGGTCTTTTCTTCAGTTCTTCATTTTACTAACCCTTTGTTTCCTTCTTCTTTTCAGACGTAAGCCATGCCGGAAGCGGATAGGAGCTTCGACCGTCGCTGTCGTCTTCATAATCGGAAGCGGAAGCACTCAAGCATAACCGGAAGAACGCCTTCAAGCATAACCGGAAGAACGTCTTCAAGCATAACCGGAAGAATGGCTTCAAGCCCGTCACAAACTGTTCGTCAACCGTCACCAATGGCGGACTTGTGGACTTGGTTGGGGTACGTAAACCGAGTTGGACTTTGGTTTAACTTTGTTGAGTAGTACTCATGAGATTCCTTTTTCCTTTTCAGACCTTTGCGACCTCATTGACGACCGTCTATGCGACCTCTTTGGCGACCGTCTCTGCGACCACAATGGCGACCGTCTCTTCGACCTCCTTGGCGACCGTCTATGGATCCTCATTGGCGACCGTCTATGCGACCTCATTGGCGACCGTCTATGCGACCTCATTGGCGACCGTCTCTGCGACCTCATTGGCGACCGTCTTATGCTCACAAGAGCACGAGAGGCGCTACGGAAGCTTTCAAGCATTGGCGCCGCCACGGATGCATTCAAGGTCGCCTCGCCGACCGTCGCCAATGGCGGACTTGACGCCAACGCTTTGGGGTACGTAAATCACTTCAAACTTTTGCTTCGAGCAACTTCGGTTTTTTCTTTAACAAGCACTAATATCTCGCCTTCTTCCTTTTTCAGACCTCCGCGACCTTCTTGGCGACAGTCATGGCGACCGTCTATGCGACCTCTTCGGCGACCGTCTCTGCGACCTTGGCGACCGTCTATGGAGCCTCATTGGCGACCGTCTATGCGACCTCATTGGCGACCGTCTCATGCTCACAAGATCGCGAGAGGCGCTGCGGAAGCTTTCAAGCATTGGCACCGCCACGGATGCATTCGAGGTCGCCTCGCCGACCGTCGCCAATGGCGGACTTTGACGTCAATGGTTTGGGGTGCGTAAATCACTTCGAACTTTTGCTTCGAGAAACTTCGGATTTTTTTTAAAAAACAGGTACTAATATCTCGCCTTGTTCCTTTTTCAGACCTCGGCGACCTTCTCGGCGACAGTCATAGCGACCGTCTTGGCGACCGAAGATGGCCGAGACACGAAAGCTCCGCAGTCACCGATGCAGTCACGATGCTCCTGACGCCAAGTCCTGACGCGGGCACGGGGACGCGGTGACGGATGGCGGCCATGCGGACGCATGACGCTTCTTCGGGCACGTCTCACGGCGCACGGCGCATCGGAGGCGCTTGGCAACGCTTCGGTTCGCTACAAGCTGCGCCTCTCGCGGAGGACTCTCTCTGACCTCGTAAGTTTCAGTTTCAGTTTTCGTTGCCTTTTCTTCCGGATTCTAACTACTATGTTGTGTTCTCTCTCTTTTAGTGCAGGAAAGGCGGGCGCGGGAGTCAACGGTGGCGGCGGGAGTTCAAGCTACCACGGGGGACTCCTCCTTTCTTTGTAAGTCTCAGTTTCAATTTTTCTTGGTTTTATTTTTCGGATTCTAACTACTATGTTGTGTTCCCTCTCTTTTAGTGCAGGAAAGGCGGGCGCGGGAGTCAACGGTGGCGGCGGGAGTTCAAGCTACCACGGGGGACTCCGTCTTTCTTTGTAAGTTTCAGTTTCAGTTTTACTTGTTTTATTTTTCGGATTCTAACTACTATGTTGTGTTCTCTCTCTTTTAGTGCAGGAAAGGCGGGCGCGGGCGGGAGTCAACGGTGGCGGCGGGAGCTCAAGCTGCCACGGGGGACTCCTCCTTTCTTTGTAAGTCTCAGTTTCAGTTTTCCTTGATTATTTTTTCCGGATTCTAACTACTATGTTGTGTTCTCTCTCTTTTAGTGCAGAAGAGGCGGAAGCGGGAGTCAACGGTGGCAGCGGGAGCACAAGCTATCACGGGGGGACTCCGTCTTTCTTGGTAAGTTTCAGTTTCAGTTTTCTATTATTTTTCTCTTTTGGAGACTAACTATTGTTGTGTGCTCCATCGCAGGAGCGGTGAGCGGGAGACAACAGCGCTGGTGACGACGCGAGAGGTCAACGGCGTTGACCGATCTTGGACGGCGCTGGCGGGGAGCAACGGCGCTGCCGGGAGCGGACGCCATCACTTCACGCCTTTCCTCTCCTCTCTTCTTCCAGTGCCCCGTGTCAGGTTGAGAGATCAGGTGACAAGCACGGGGATCAGCTTCAACTCGTCTACGACGTTAGACTAGACTCGTTACAGACGGACACGATACAGACTCGCGTAGAACCGACCACAGAACAGACTGATAGGCTCGAACCGAAAAGCCCGGCACGGTATGCCGCGGTTGGGTGGGTTTCGATGGGGTCCGCGGTTGGTTAGGTTTCGATGGGGGCCGGGGTCGGGTGATTTCGATGGGGCCCGCGGCTCACTTTTAGATAAGCTGCAGGTTGTCTGACATCAGCGCGACTCGAGGATTCCCACCTGACGTCTGACAGCCGGACATCCGAGGCGGTTTTCTGCCCGTGGCAGTACAATTCCTAATTTCCCCCCAAAAGTTTTCATTTTTTTCTTCCCTTCCTTCCTCCCGCCCCCCCCCCCCCCCCCCTACCCTCCAACAGGTGTCCCGTGCGAAAAACCCCCACCTCAACGCGGTGCACGGGTGAAACGCTTGAGGCTTTGCCTCTAGCGGCCAAGAGGGGTCAAGACTCAAGACAAGTGGAGCAGCAGCAGAAGATCGGCCTTTCGTCGTGCAGAACCAGGATTTGAAGAAGCTAGTTGTCTCTAGTTCAGATCGCTGCCTTGTATGTGTGACATGTTTTATATATAAATTATTTTTCATCTTGACCAGACACGGAATACAAATCCCTCAGCGGATGAAGTAGACTAGGCTCGGATCCAAGCACGATCGAACAAACAGAAAGCACCATAGTATTCGTCGACGAGCAACCATTGTAATCGTCGACGAGCAATCTCTTCCTAGGAATGGCGATTATAACTCTCAACTCAAGTTCTCCATGAGCAAATACTCTTGCTTGGCGATCGCACGCTTCCTAACCTCATCAGCCGCACGCTTCTTACATGGAGATTGAATCTTAGCATTTCCAGCGTCGTCTACTCCTCTAGCCTTCTTTGCTCTTCTTAGAACTTCTTAGCAAGAGCTGGGTGCGTCGTTTGCTCCTCTCGCCTTACGACGTCCCCGCTTGGCAAGATAAGCAACAATTGATGTATCTTGCCTTTTTCGAAGTTTTAAAAGTTTTAACGTCTGTTCGGCGAGTTTCACTGCGGGTGTCAGCAAGGTTGCGCGTGTGACTTGTTTTCGCGAGCAGAGTCGCTGCTGGGAGCGGCGAGCGAGGTGATGGCGGCGCTAGGGTTAGCGCATCTGCTGGTGGGGCGGTCGCACGAGTGCAAGTTCCCGCCGTCGCTGCTCGCTCTGCCGTGCGTGTCGTCGCCCGCGCTGGGGCCGGATCTCGAGCAGCAGAGCTGTGCGACGGTGCACGACAGGGTGAGTTGCAGATCTGTGCGACAATGCGCGACAGGGTGCTTGCAGAGCTGCGCGATAGGGTGAGTCGCAGAGCTGCGCGATGCGCGACAGCGTGAGCAATGGTGGGGGGGGCGAATGGCGGCACTTTTGGCCAGCATTCATTGCAATCGGAACGTTTTCCAGTTTCCCCCCACTCTTCCTTCCCGCGCCCACTTCCCCACTTCCACTTCCGGTTTTACAGCTCATGGAGCTGGTCACAACGGGGCACAGGGTGACCAAGGAGGAGAGTTTTGAGTTGACTTAAAAGACTCTGACGCCCCTTCTTTTCCGCGCCAGCTCATGAGCTGGTCACCACTGGGCGGGGGGTGACAGACGGGAAGGCTGCACAAGGCAGGGCGTCGTGTGTGGCGCTGCGGCATGCACTGCAGCACCAGCTGAGGCAGGCCAGTGCTGAGGCCTCCATTGCCCCTGCTGCCACAGGCTTCCCTCTACAGGTGTGGGGAACAGGGGGAATCGACCAAACTATTGCTCTGGTCTCTATTGTTTCCCTAATACTCATGCTTGCCACCACTCCTGCTAGTCAAATGTGTGGTTGCCATGAGTGCCTTGAGATGTGGTTGTTGAGACGTCTCGAAAGTGACGCTGCCTCTCTCGTCTGATGCGCCCACATCCCCACCAGGCACGACAAGAGATCCCATCATGTCCATCCCCTGGAGCCATGCGGGTCTGCCCACTGTCACCATGCCAGTCGCCCTCACACCTGCTGCTGGTGGTTCATCTGGGAGTGCTGCTGCTGGCAGCTGCACACATGAGGGTGGTACTGCTGATGAGAGCAAAGTGTGCCGTATTAAAGAGTATCTTCCCGTGGGGGTCACTCTTGTTGGGGTGTGGAACGAGGATGAGAGACTCCTGGATGTTGCATTGGAGCGGGAACGCTTTCTTGATCGCACCTCACCATTATAAACCCAGTGGCACCGTATTACATGAATTCTATTTGTTTATGCAACTGGAGGGGTGCTTCCTCAACTATCCAATTTATTCTGCGTCCATTCTGCACATACACCCCAAATAGCGCAACAGCTCCTGCTGCTGCATCTCTGGCTTCTCATCACCCGATACTGCACCCAACCCTTGCTGCAATAACAAGTAGCTTGCTTCCACCCTGCTCTTCTCCCACGCGCGCTGCCAGGCTTTCCTGCACTGGACTCTCTGCTGCGGATGAGTGAGGGCGAGGTGCGTGCGGGAAAGTGGCATTGGCCAGGTAGGTGCATGAGTGGATGCAACGGCTCCTGTCAAGTGATGTTGCTGTTGTCAGTACAGTAGAGGTTCCTGTCCTGAATCTTGCAACACAGTTAGTGTGGAACTGGGTATGGCGTTTCTCACCACTGGCTTTCAATCCCATCTGCTCTTGACTGCAGATGATCCAACGGCTGAGGTCTGCTGGTGCTCTCATCCTGGTCCGTCCAAATCACACCTAATCACATCACACTTGACGTTTTCACATTCGTTTCTAAGGTCTCTTCCTTGCCTGCTACAGGTTCACGCATGTAAACCTTTTTTTCTGTTGTTTCTCTAGCATTTGCTTTTTTCGCCCCTTGTCCTCTACATTGGTTCACTCCCGATGTGAAGTTGAAGATGCATGCACGCTGTCCCTCTCTTCTCCCACTCCCCTGTCGTCCGTGGTCCAGGGCAAGGCAGCCATGACAGAATTCGCCTACCGCCATCCGACTCGCACACGCAACCCTCTTGCTCCATTTGAGTCACATCCTGCCTGAAACCGCCATCTGCGAATCTTCACTTGCCTCCGCTGTGAGTGAACGTGTTCTTCGCTAGTGAATGCGTTCTTCGCTAGTGAACGTGTTCTTCGCTAGTGAACGTGTTCTCCACTGCCTCGCTCTCATCACCTTCTCCCGCTCGTCATCCCCCTCATCTGCTCCCCCGCGGTCCTTCACGCCTGGAGGCTCCAGCAGCGGGTCAGCAGCAGCTGTCGCAGCAGGCATCTGCCCGCTCGCCCTCAGCTAGTCTCCTTCTCTCTCCTCTCTCTCATCTCCGTCACCTCCTATTCTTTCTTTCACCTCCTCTCCTCTCCTTCACCCCATCCCCACCTACTTTAATTCCTGATTCCTCCTCTTCCCCCTGCCTTCCCTCTCCTCTGGTGCTGTCTCCCTTCCCCTGACCCCTCTCTGCAGCAGTGGGCTTTAAGCCCTCCCACCACCGCCTCCCCGCATCTGGCTGTGTTTCAGCACCTTTGCCCTTTCCTCCTTTCGTCCCTCCTTTTCTGCCAGTCTGACTGAATGCATTGCTGCGATGCATGTTGAGTTGAAACAGACTGGCTCGTGATTTCCCACGACCTCGTGTCTCCCCGTGCAGCCGTGCAGGGACCGGTTTGGAGTCATCGCAGCCTCGGTGCGCTGGGCAGCACTCTGTGTATCTTGACAGCCCCATCCCCACCCCACCCCCACACCCTCCCCCCCTCCGTGCAGCCATCGCCTTCCCTGGACCAGTTTGGAGTCATATCAGCCTCAGTGCGCTGGGCAGCACTCTTTGGTCTGGCCGTTCTGCCCCACTGGTGGCCCCCACCCTCCCGTGCGGCTGTGCAGGGTAAGCAGCTCGCCTTCTCTCCCTCTCCTCTGCCCTCGTTCCGAGCCCATGGGCCCATGCCTTCTCGCTAAGATTGAAATCACTGGTGCGGA